TTAATGTGGATTTCTTGTGCCAGAGAATTTGCTAGAGATTGTTTTCCTGACTTTGTGTGCACTTTGAAAAGAAACACAAAAAGGAAAAGCAACTTCCCACTTAACCTTAACATCATGTTCCTGATACGTGGTTTCTCTTTGGGCATTGATAAACCTTGCAGCTCTAAATAACAGTGGACCCCAATTGTCTTACTTAGGGATCTATAGCTTGTCAAAGGAGTTTATGAAATGAATCCATCTTCTTGGTTTTTTTCCCCTCCTGACCAGTTTGGGATGTGATCTTGTATTCTGTACTCAAGTGTTTCCCAAGAGTTTTGACAAGAGTCACTGAAGTCAAATAACTATGTTTAGCTCGACTATATAAAAAATATAAATTGTAAAGCAACTGTATTTTCTGAGCCAAAGCCTATTTTTTTAAATATGAGCCAAGTTTTGCACATTCATGGAGCCTGGTGAAATGGGCATCTTATTTGAGAGCTTATGACCTAGAAGGTTAAAAGTGATTCTTAAGTATGAAAACCAAAGTGTCACAGGTTGGACTGTGAAACAATAGTTGGCAGCATGGGCACCAAGCAGTGGTTTAGAGGGATGAGGTCTTGATTCTCATCTGGGATGTCTGGCTTCTTTTGTAAAATCTGGCCTGACAAAGTTCCTGAAATCCAAATGCTGTGTCGGTGCTTCTTTTCCAACTGCAGCTTCCCAGTCATCTCTCCCTCACTTTGCAAAAGAAGAAAGACCTCTCCTTGACTTATCTGGAGTCACTATAAGGCATCAGTTCTCAAATGCTTTGGTCTCAACATCCCTTTACAATGTTAGAAATTATTGAGAACCAAAAAGGTTTTTTTTATGTGAGTTCTACCTACTGGTAGTAGTTTCTGGTTTCTAATTCAGAAACTAAAATAAAACTTTCAAAGCATAAAAATATACAAGCACATCCTCTTTTACTGATAGAGCTAATGACATCATCACACAACATACAGCCTCTGGAAAATTCTTTTGGAACATTCCATCACATGTTCCTGAAAGAAAGAAAGTAGAAAGGACAAATAACATCTTATTATTGTTAGTGTTATTATTATTATTATTACAAAAATAGTTTTCTTTTCTTTTTTTTTTTTTTCAAAAATAGTTTTCATCATTAGGACTCCTAAAAGGGCCTCTGAGATCCCCAGGAGTTTCCAAATCTCACTTGGAAAGTGACTGCTATAGTGCATTGGCTCAGGTTAAGAAATTTCCAGATCACTACATAGAAAATTCCAAATTTTGTTCAACAAAGGAGTTGCCCTTCCAGTAAAATTCTTCTATTTATGTTTAAGAATTATATACGTGGTTGGGGTGCCTGAGTGGCTCAGTCAATTAAGTATCCAACTGTTGATCTCAGCTTAGGTCTTGATCTCAGGGTCATATGTTCAAGCCCCACAACAGGAGAGCCTACTTTAAAAAATAATAATAATTCTATATATTATTGTGATGAGTTGTACCCTAATAGTTTTGAGAATAATCAATCTAGAAGATATTTTTTTCCCAATTTTAACATATATGTGTATTTTGATTGCCAAGAAGTGTTGTAAGGTGATTAATCATGACTTCTAAACCCAAATACTTAGTGCCATTTGGATAAAATTCTGCAGGAGAAATAGAAAATCATGATGGAAACTTCTGGCTGCTGGGAGAAAATTGTTCCTCACCCACAATCATTGTGGGTGATTTAAGGTCTCCCATCCCTAAATGGGTATGCTACATAGGTACCTTTAAGGGAATTTTACTTTAAAATGTCAGAGTACCGGAAATTACTTTCTTTGCAACTGTTTAAATTATAAAACATTTAAGATGCAAACCTCCAAAATGTATGAGAGCTCCATATATTTTTCAGTTATTTGTGAGGAATATAAGCAGAAGATACAAAGACCCCGAAGGCAGGGTATTAAAGGATGTCCTTTTATACATGTGGTTAATGAGTTTGACATAAATATTCCTCTTCAGTGAAATAAAATTTTTTTTAAACCATCACACAAACTATTAACAGTTTCATCTGTCACTCAAAAGGAAGTGACCAAAAATGTGAAAAGTTATGGCTCCTACCTGAAATTTTAGTTTGTTTGTTTGTTTGTTATTTTCTTTCTTTCTTTCTTTCTTTCTTTCTTTCTTTCTTTCTTTCTTTCTTTCTTTCTTTCTTTCTTTCTGATAGTCACAGAGAGAGAGAGAGAGGCAGAGACACAGGCAGAGGGAGAAGCAGGCTCCATGCACCGGGAGCCCGATGTGGGATTCGATCCCGGGTCTCCAGGATTGCGCCCTGGGTCAAAGGCAGGCGCCAAACTGCTGCGCCACCCAGGGATCCCCGAAATTTTAGTTTCTTAGCTCTTGGAATTGTCAAGAGAATCAAAGCCATCCAATTAGGATTTTCTTCCAATCTGAGGGAAATACTTCTTACCTCAGAAAATTAAAATACCTGAAGTGTCTGTCTTATTTTGACAGAACATTATTTTAGAGAAGTAAAAAGTCACCAGAGAATTGTAGGACAGAGATACATAGGTTTGTTTTTTCTTGAGAGACCATGTCTAGTTAGCAGAACTCAGGTGCCTAACTTAACTTCCATCTGGATGGAAAGGAGCAAAAGCCCACCAGCACTGATATTTCTGTGCACTTCTAAACCTCAAGAGAAGTGCCAACATAAAAGGGATCAGGTTCACATTTCTTCCTAGAACTTCTCCCAGACATGGTTCTCTGGCCATTTGGCCCAACCTAGGGCTGGTCTTCCCCCAGCAGCTTATTCCTCCTTATTTTTTCAAATATTTAATTACTGTTAGTGACAAGCTTTGAATATTAAAATTATCAGGTCGAAATTTTCTTATACAAGTAAATGGATAATGGATAGAAGAAAACAAAGTAAGGTTTTCAGGCAACAAGCAAATGGAGATACATTTTCAAGAATTTTTTCTTTCTCCAGTTCATGATGTGAATTCTGTGCCACAAGACACAGAGAAGTTTCCAGATTCTACTAGATGGTATATATGGCTGTGCTTTGAAAAAAAAAAAAAGAAAGAAAGAAAAGGAAATATCTGTTTTTAAATTTTAGAATAGTTTTAGATTTTAGATGTCATGGAGATAATACAGAGTTTTCCCATAAACTCCACTCCCACGCTCTCCTATTATTAACATCTTATATTAGTGTGATATATTTGTTATAATTAATGAACTAATACTGATACATTATTATTGACTCAAGTCTATATTGACTCAGATCTCCTTAGTTTTTAGCTAATACCCTTGTATTCTATGATTTCATCCAGTATTTAGTTGTCTTGTCTCTTTAGGCTCCTCTTGGTTGTAACAATTTCTCAAATTTAACTTGTTTTTAATGGTCTTGACAGATTTGAGGAATACTGGTCAGGTTTCTTTTAGAACGTCCCACAGTCTGAACTATCTGATGTTTTTCTCCTGCATAGACTTGGGGTGTATGTTTTGGTGAGGAAGACTGCCAGCGGGGAGGGCCACTTTCATTACACCATATCAAGGATACATTCTGTCAACGTAACTTAGTGGTATTGACCTTGGTCATATGGCCAAGGTACTGTTTATCATTTTCTCAACTCTCAAGTTTAAAAAAAATAAATAAAGTTTTGCTTTTATTTCCTTTTCGTATTATCCTTTTTTGGAAGGAAGTCACTATGTGCAGCCCATGCTTAAGGGGTTGGGAGTTATGGTCCTCCTCCTTCAGGACAGAGAATCCACATAAATTATTTGGAACTCTTCTACATGAGAGATTTGTCTTTTCTTCCCCATTATTTAATCATTTATTTGTATCAATATAGACTTGTAAATATTTATTTTATACTTCAGGTTACAATCCAATGCTACTTTGTTTATTTTCTTGATCAAATTGTTCCAGCTTTGGCTATTAGGAGTCCTTTTAGTTGATTTCTGTTTCTCTGTCATCCCCCCATCATTGTGATTGTGTGTGTGTGTGTGTGTGTGTGTGTGTGTGTGTCTGTGTGTTACATGGCGTTTGTGTTAAATTTTATTCCAGGCTCATCTTATATGTTTCCTGCTCCAATCTGAGAATCAACCATTTCTCCAGACTTCCATTTCCTTTTATTGGCAAATAGTCTTAGAAACCAGTATTTGGATTACCTCATCTTTCTATTTAAAATTAATAAATCAACTACTTTTTAAAATTTCTAAGATGTCTTCAAACCTCTGATATTATAGAATTTTTTTCATTCAACGCTACCATCTTCTCTTCAAGTAATCATAATGTCTTGTGTTTATGTAATATTTATGAACAGACTAATTTTTACTATTAAGAAAAGTATTTGGGGCACCCAGGTGGCTCAGTGGTTGAGCATCTGCCTTTGGCTCAGGTAGTGATCCCAGGGTCCCGGGATCAAGTCCTGCATCAGGCTCCTTGAGGGGAATTTGCTTCTCCCTCTGCCTGTGTCTCTGCCTTTCTCTGTGTGTGTCTCTCATGAATAAATAATCTTAAAAAAATTTAAAAATTAAAAAATAAATTTAAAAAGGGATTCATTACAACAGACCATCTGAAATGGTTAAGCACTGTGACTTTTATCCCACTATGTCTGGTGTCCTGAAATGTCATTAGTGTGCAGTATCATATGTACTGTGTGGCTAAGCAGTAGGGGATCATCCAGGTGAGCCTCAAAAAGCACTCTTCTTGATATTGGGGCCAGAGATTCCTATACCTCCTTGCAAAAATTTAAGTCTAAATATTACTGCTTTGTCATCTAACAGCTCACCATCTGGGAAAAATAAAGCATTTAAATGAAAAACAGCTGCCTCTGAGGCCCACAGTTGACTTGCTCCTGGTGGCTAAGGTTTAATCCCAGGTTTGTTTCAACCACCAGCACACTTTAAATATTAACTTTGCATTTATGGGTTGAAGCAATGAACCAAAAAGTAAAGAATGTTAAGACAACCATAGGAGTCTGGTGCCCTGCAGCCTGTTTCTCGGTGGCTGGTCTCACGAGTCCCTTCCTTTCCAGGTCTGACCGAACCAGCAGTCTTTAGCTGTGAAGCCCACAATGACAAAGGGCTGACCGTGTCCAAGGGTGTGCAGATCAACATCAAAGGTAAATATCAAAGTCAAGTCCCTCAAGCACATCCTGGGAGCTTTGTCTTTTCTTCCCAGCATGAGCCCTACAGCCAGCTACCTGGGCTTGAGACCTGTCTTCCCTACTGACTTCCTTTGTGACCTTCGACAAGTCACTTAACCTCCTTGGCTTCAGTACAAAATAGAGATAATACAGAATCTACTTCCTTTTGAGGCTTAAATGAGATAATACAAGTAAAAGCACTCATAACCATGCCTGGTGCATAAGTCTTTGATAAACATTAGCTCGTTTAGTTCTGCTTAGTCTGAGAATAGGCTAAGATGTCTACCCTTGATCTTCTTAGCCCCGGTTTTCACCTTTCCCTCTCCCACCTTGAACTAGTCCCTGTTACCCCCTTGAAGAGCTCCCAGGGATGGGGGTGGCTTAGGGCATCAATTAAAGGAATAGGGGTGCGAGTCTTCCCTAGCTGCTGTCCTGAGAGGGGCAGAAGGGAGGGAGAGCCCAGAGCTCCTGTGCCTCGTCCCCCTGATCTTATTGCCTGAGCTGGGATATAACATAATGGAAGATTTGTGTTTGAAGGTCCCCATGCTAGTGGAGGCATTCCAATTCAGTCACCTGCCTCCTCCTCCTCCTCCTCCTCCTCCTCCTTCCATGGAATCAGTTATTTAAACCTGAAACTTGAGAGTAAATTCTGTCCTTTTATTTCTTTTCAAATCATCTTTCTTACCCTTTGTCATAGAAACTCAAGCAAATTTTATGTTTTAGTATTTGTTTTTATTTTTTATTTTTTTAATAGATTTTTTTAAAGATTTTTTTTGTTTGTTTATTTATTCATAGAGACAGAGAAAGAGAGAGAGGCAGAGACACAGGCAGAGGGAGAAGCAGGCTCCATACAGGAAGCCTGACGTGGGACTCGATCCCGGGTCTCCAGGATCACACCCCAGGCTGCAGGCAGCGCTAAACTGCTGCACCATCGGGGCTGCCCTAGTACTTGTTTTTAATTTACTTTCTTTTTTTAAGATTCTGTTTGTTTGTTTGTTTAAGAGCGAGAGAGTGAGAAAGATAGCAAGAGCGGGATGGGGCAGGGGGTGGACAGAGGGAGAAGCAGAATCAGACTCCCTGCTCAGCAGGGAGCCCAACACAGGGCTAGATCCCAGAACCCTGGGATCATGACCTGAGCCACCCAGGCGCCCCATTTGTTCTTAATTTAAATACGGAGAAGCAAATATTGAGTCCATATTCCTTTTGGTCTTAATCTTGGGGAAACAACACCAGGGAAAAGCAGGATGTGTTTAATAATGAGTTAAAAATTAAGAAATATATAGTGGGGGACTCTTATCATAAAAGAGTTATACTTTATAAAGATGTTGATGGGGATGTGTAGGTGGCCCAGTCGATTAAGTATCCAACTTGATCTCAGCTCCGGTCTTGATCTCATGGGTCATGAGTTCATGGCCCACACTGGGCTCCACACGGGGCATGGAGCCAACTATTTAAAAATAAATAAGTCAAAAGTGCCATTGTTTCATTTCAGCAAATCAACTAGATGAAGGTGATGAGGGGGCATTTTCTAAAAGTTTATTTGAAAAAAAAAAAAAGAAAAAAGAGCAAGCTGAAACTTACTCCTGGAGGAACTGTATAACTTCCTTCCTCATTATAATTCTCATTATTACAATTTTCAAAAGAAATGTTGGGAATTTCAGGAATTCATGAGTAGGCATAAATTGATAAAGACATTTTCATAAAGTATAAACACCTTAATATTTAAATATCTATAAACCAAGAGACACTTTAAAATTTTATGCTTTACACAGAGTCTTAGCTTTTTTTTTTTTAATCCTCTAAAACTTATGTTTTTGGTTTTCATTTATTTAAAAATTTATGTCAAAGCAACCAAGACTCCCTTCTTCCAATCTCTTATTAACTGTAATATATGTGCCAAATTATGATCTTTAAGGTAGGCATTTTAGGACAGTTTGACAAATAATCTATTTAGGGAAGTGAGTCAAAGAAAATGCTGATTCTTCCCCATTCACCAAGCTGTTTGTCTTCTAGTAAACAGAAACTCCTGAATATGGTACCCAGGACACTTCACAGGGTCCCAGCTCTCCTTCCTCTGATCTTCTTCCCACTCTGTCATTGCTTCACATCAGCACCCCTCCCCTAACCCTCCCGCATGTATACCTTCTCAATCTTCCCCAGCCCCATGGAGCAGTGTTATTACTATCCCCACTAAGAGAAAAAGAAACAGTTTAGAAAAGGCATTTAACTGTGACCTGGCCTCATGGCTGGCCAGACAGGAACCAGACTCACCAGCTGGTGCTCACACCAATGTGCTTGCTGCCTCCTGTAACCAGCCTCCAGTGTTCTACTGAGGGACACACACTCCAAGCTCAGACAGACCTGAGTTCAAGTTTCCTGTTCTGCTAATAAGCTCTGTGATCTTTGGCAAGTTTTTAACTTCTCTGATTCTCAGTATCCTCATCCATAAATGAGGATCGTGAGACTACCTCTCTGACAGGGTTCTAGTGATAATGAAGCACAGCAAAATCCATAATGTGCTGGCCCATAGTAAGCACTAGAAAACAGTAGTCATCATTTTTGCTTATAAATGTGATGATGACCATTAATTAAGAATTATATTTAGGGGGTGCCTGGGTGGCTCAGTCAGTTAAATACCTGCCTTCAGCTCAGGTCATGATCCCAGGGTCCTGGGATCGAGTCCCGCATTGGGCTCCCTGCTTTGTCCTCTGCTTCTGCCTACCACTATCCCCTGCTTGTGTGCTCTCTCTTTCTCTTTCAAATAAATAAATAAAAGAATTAAATTTAGCATAAAACAAGATCCTCAAACTTCAGACCCTTCTTAGATTCTAGTGAAAATACCTGTCCATGTCCCACATGTGGCCAGGGTCATTGCACACTGTATGGTATTACCTGCCTACCCTCCCAGCAGATGCAGTTGGTTCTTTGGCTTGAACTGACTCTCCCATTTCCTTGGCCTGGAAAACTTCTCCCCTACATCTACCATACATGCACACTCGTGCTCCCATAGCACCCCTCTCTTCTCAGCACGGGCTCTCTCATCCTCAGGTTATGGGGGGCTCCCCTCCTCAACCAGGAGTTGCACAGGAGTAGGGCCATGATTCTTTGTCCCCATGTAGAATCCTGGCACCCGGCAACATGCCTGTATACAGTAGGGTAGTGAACACGAGCTCAGTGAAGGAAATAGATGTCTCTGTATCCTTTTCCCTCTAAGGTCTCACTTCATCAGTAGGCAGGAAAGCAGGTCTGTGTTCCACTCCTCTGGTCCAGGCACAACCATCCTATCACCGGGAAACCTATCTATAAGCTAATATGATTAATCTCAGACAATGTGGCTTCTTTTTAAAACTTGAGTTGAATTTTCCTAATCTTAAGAAATGGAAACAGGTTTGATACTTGTGTGTGTTCGGTAGCTGTGGCCACCTGTAGTTTATAACTGTGTTTGTATGTGTGTCTTTGTTTTTATATAGTAATTCCCTCCCCACCAACTGAAGTCAGTGTCTACAACAACACGGCACACAGTGTGCTGATCTCCTGGGTCCCGGGTTTTGATGGATACTCCCCGTTCAGGAGTTGCAGCATTCAGGTAAACCTCCAGGATGAAGAGAGAAGTAGCTGTCTGGTGCTCTGAGGTCCTACCTGATTTTTCATCCTCCTGAGGATGCGTGCCGAGGCTTTCCACACCTCCGTTTAGAAGTCCACTGACTCCTCTCCACTGAGTGTCCACCATGCATACCCCATTTTACGGTGTTTGCCCTGGGATGCTGCTTCCTTTTTGCTCATGGTCCAGGGTCCAACCAGAAGGGAAACAGGTTTCTAGGATAGAACATCATGAGACAAGAGAGAATTAATTTTTAAGGTATAAAAACACATCCCTAAATTAGGACTAGGTTGTGATCAGGAGTTCAGGAAAACAAAGTATTCCTCAACCTGGCTTCTCCTGGGCTGGAGGCCATGAAGCCCAGGCAAGCATGAGGTAGGTCATTTTTGCTGTCGAACGTAGCACCTTGGCCCATGGATCCCAGGACAACCTGAGCATTATAGGCTTGCAAAGTCTTTCCCCTTTTTAACCACTATCTAAAACTGGTATGACATTGTGCTATAAGAAATATAGGCTAGCCATCCTAAAATGGTACCTTGCTGTGATGTAGGCTCTGCTTTGAGTGTTAATTTCATTAAAATAGAAAGGGTAGCAGTAACACTACCATTTACTGAGTGCTCACAACGGCCAGGGACTTTGCTGACATCATCTTACTGAAAACCGACACCAGCTCAGAGCGCTCACGGAGTCCTTGAGTGGTAAAACCAGAATTCGAACTCAAAATGCTCTGATGCCAAAAACGATGCTCAGAACCATCTGCTCTTCCATGTCTCAGAAGAGACATTGCTTATGGGAACAGTTGAACATGTGTAGATTATCCACTGAAAACATGAACGCAGTCTGCCTTGTATGTTGTCATACAGTAGGGTCAGAAATTGTTCTTAGTTTCATATATGTCTGGTCTTACTAGCTGAAAACATATTAACCTGACACAGGCCACTCATGCCAGCTCAACTTGAAGCAGTGACTTCTAAAGAATTTTATATGTTGACAACCAGATGTTTTTAATACCAAATGGAATTAGCTTCTCTGTTTTTATTGCCTCCCACTCTTGTCCAACAGCTGTTCCTTCCCTGAAAAATGAAAACATTCTATTATCCCCAAAATAGCCTCCACCCTCACCCCAACAACTCTAACTTTACTTAATTCTTGCCCAACTTTATTTGTAAACCTCTCAAGGAATGGTAAGTCTAACAAAGTCCTTACCAGGGATATCATTTTTTTTTTTGGCAGCTTTTTTTGAGATATATTTCATAGACCATAATACTTACCCATTTAAACTGTATAATGTTGGGGTGCCTGACTGGCTCAGTCAGAAGAGCATGCGACTCTTGATCTCAGCGTCGTAAGTGTGAGCCCCACATTGGGGTAGAGATTACTTAAATAAACTTTAAAAACACAAAGTGTGTAATGTTTATTGGTATATCCACAGAGGTGTGTAGCAATCACCATTGTCTAATTGTGTCTATATTCATAAAAGCTATTGGGCTATAGTTTTCTTGTGTTAGCTGTTTCTGGTTTTGGTATCAGGGTGATACTGGCCTTATAGAATCAGTTGGGAGGTGTTCCCTTCTCTTCTATTTCTTGGAAGAGTTTGTGGAAGATTGATGTTAATTCTTTAAATATTTGGTAGAAATCACCAGTGAAGTTATCAGGTCCCAAGCTTTTCCTTGTGTAGAGTTTTTGTTGTTGTTGTTGTTGTTTTAAGATTTTATTTATCCATTCACAAGAGACACAGAGAGAGAGAGACAGAGACATAGGCAGAGGGAAAAGCAGCCTCCTCACAGGGAGTCCAAAGTGGGACTCAATCCCGGACCCTGGGATCATGCCCTGAGCTGAAGGCAGACCCTCAACCACTGAGCTACCCAGGTGTCCCTGTGGAGTTTTTTGAATACTACCTTAATCTTTTTACTTGGTACAGCTCTACTTAGATTTTTCATTTCTTCTTGAGTCAGTTTTTTTAGTTTGTTTCTAGGAATGTGTCCACTTCCTTTGGGTTACCTAATTTGTTGGTATACAATTGCTTATATTATTCCATTATAAGCTTTTTTTTCTTTGAAGTTAGTAGTGATGTCCCCACTTTCATTCCAGATTTTAATAATTTCAGTCTTCCCTTCCTTTCTTCTGTTTGCTTTGGCTTAGTTTGCTTTTTATTATTATTATTTTTTTTTTTAGTATCATAAGGTAGAAGTCTGGGTAATTCATTTGAAATTTCTTCTTTAGGGGATCCCTGGGTGGCTCAGCGGTTTAGCGCCTGCCTTTGGCCCAGGGCGCGATCCTGGAGTCCCGGGATCGAGTCCCACGTCAGGCTCCCGGCATGGAGCCTGCTTCTCCCTCCTCCTGTGTCTCTGCCTCTCTCTCTCTCTATGTCTATCATAAATAAATAAATAAATCTTTAAAAAAAAAAGAAATTTCTTCTTTAATATAAGCATTTATACTATACATTGCCTTCTAAGCAGTGTGTTAGCTACATCACATAGGTTTTGATATTTGGGGGCTTTTTCCTCATTCATCTAAAATTTTTTTGTTCTTTTCCTTGTGATTTTTTTTCCCCTATTGGTTATTCAGGAATATGTTGTTTAATTTTTTACATATGTAAATCTCTCAAGTTTTCTTCCTTTGCTTATTTCTAGTGTTATTCTATAGTGTTTGGAGGATATACTTAATATGATTTTCATCCTTTTAAATTTACTACGGCTTGTTTTATGGGCTAGCATTTGTTCTGCCCTGGAGAATGTTTCATATGACTTGAGGGGAAGGTATATTCAGCTGTGGTTAGGGTAGAATATTTTATATGTCTGATAGATTTAGTTAGTTTAGAGTCTTGCTCACTTCTTGTTTCCTTGTTGATCTTCTGCTAAGTGGTTTTATCTGTATTGAAAGTGGGAAATTAGGGTCTCAACTATAGTTTTTGAATTGTCTATTTCTCCTTTCAATCTCATCAGGTTTTCCTCCATGTATTCCAGGACTCTGTTAGGAGCAACCAGGGCTTATTGATAGATAGGTAGGTAGATAGATAGATGGATGGATGGATGGATGGATGGATGGATGGATAGATATAATTGAAGCATGACCCAGCCCTCTTTAAAACTGCTGCTGAGCTGTATAAAGAGTCCAAGAAAACAAGAGGCTCCTGCCCACTTAAGTATTGTTGTCTTTAGGGAGACTGTGAGGATGAGTACTACCCCCACATTGAGAGAGTAGGTCTCAGGGTGGAGATGAGGTAGAGCAGGATGGTAGGAAGGTCTGAAAATATCAGATCATTCCTGACGGTAGAAGATTTCACAGAAGCATCACCTGCTTTCTCTCTTTTCTCCTTGGCTTTGGGCTGAGTGAAAAATCATCCAGTGACTGCCAAATTGCAGGCCTTCCTTGTCCACCTTGGATCCTGTGGTGCCAGATGTGATTATTCTGTCTCTGCCCCACTAGCTAGCTCAGCCTCCCTTCACCCATAAAAATACAGTTATTTTGCAAGTTAAATTATAGGAGTAATTTTGTGACATACCTGTACATGTAATTAATTATTGTTTATCTGAAATTCAAATATAACTGGCTACCCTGTTTTCTGTGACCAGTCCTAGCAGGGTTAGTCAGGAGTAGTTCTAGAAGTTACATTTTTATATTTTGCAGATTAACAATGTATTCCCACTTCTGAAGGAACCAAGCACAGTTTTGTGGCACATATCCCCAGTCCACTACAGTTTTAAACTCTGACTTGGTAACAAATGAATGTCTTGGACAAGATTCAGATCCACGCACTAACAGGACACACCCTCTCACTTCCCCTTGGTCCTGATGTTAGTTCCTTTCTTCACCCATTTTTGGGCTGCATACTCCATTTCTATTTTTAACTCTCCCGAGTACTTCTTGCTATTTCATGCCCTTTTTTCCCTCAGGACCAACAGAGAAGTACTGTTATAGAAACCCTGTCTTCTTTCAGCAGTGTGTTCTCAGAGCGTCCCTGTGCCTGGAAATGCTCCACATATTGCTCCGGAAACAGGGCAGGGGTGGAGAGCCAAAGGTTTCCTCCACCTTAGTTTCAGAGGTTGGTCACCAGGAAGTAGGTACATACTCTGAAGTGAAGAAACAAAAAGTCAGTTCTGCCAATAGCCACCACCAAGATAAGCACGTAACTCTTTGTTTCTCCTCTGGTGGCTCCTCAGGCCAGCTGGTACTTTGTTGTCACCCAGTGGAGCCTGCAGGTCTGAGTCAGAGGTGAGGCTTGGCTTGGCCCCCACGTCACCATTATGGTATCCACTAGGGGATTTAGAATTCCAAAATGTTATTTGTGGCCTCTTGGCCTAAATTTCAGCACGTATATCCTGAAATAACAGCATTGTGTATCCACACCCCATGACCGTAAGCCCATTATTATTAGTAATACACACAGGGTTCAAGATTTTTTTTCCTCAGTTACTTTTGGTTACTTGTGTTTTATTCACTATCACTTTCTCTTTTCTGACTTTACAAATACTACATATCGTAGAAATTTTGAAAAATGTGTAGTTTTATCCCCATTCCCAGACAAGAGGTATGCTTAAGGAAAAAGGTAGAAGTTTGGCCTCGGTCTAGATTTTTGCTTGTGAAGAGTTGTATATGGAGAAATTGGTAGAGATTACAGAGGGAAAGATGAAAAAGAACTCAGAGGAAAGAGCTGAGATGTTTTAATAAGATTTGGAGAAAAGTTGGTTGGGTGAGGTGCAAATAGCTCTTCCCTATCTCCGCCCACCAAATAATTTCAGAAAATGTACATTTTATCTATATGCTTTTGGACTTGAATTTATATTGGGGTGGGAGTCAGGGTTAAAGAAAAAAAAAAAAGACGTGTAGAATTTACCTCAAGGCAAGAGCAGAGTTCATCAGGTTGCATAATGAAAAGAAATGCAGAATAAAAAGAGAAATCCCATATCCAATCCCCTGAAGTAGGATTTGGGAAATGATCTCTTCAAAGGGCCAGATAGTAAATATTTTAGGTTTGCCCCCACAAAGAATGTTGGTTGTCTTTGGTGTGTATTCTGTAAAACAGCTGAGAGAAGAAATCAAGAATTGAGGTTCTGAGAAAGAGAGGACTACTACCACAATTATCACATAATAACGATCATCCTTTGCTCTTTTACCTCCCATGGCAAGTACACTTAGTTTAGGTATTTTGCTCAAGTCATCAGTGGCTGCTCCAATAACATGAGTAACACACTGTAATGCTGGTGGGGAAATTAGTGTGTGGCCCGAAAGGAAGCAGGTATTTCCCCTCAGTGGAGAAGAGCCATGTGCATTGAATACATAAGTGCCCCGTGTCTGGCATTCCCACCACCTTACTAATGCCTGGTCCACATTTTTACTCCTCACTTAGGTCAAGGAAGTTGATCCGCTGAGTAATGACTCTGTCATGGTTTTTAACACCTCTGCTTCACCACATCTGTATCAAATTGAGCAGCTGCAAGCTCTGGCTAATTACAGCATTGGTGTGTCCTGCATGAATGAAATTGGCTGGTCTGCAATGAGCCCTTGGATTCTGGCCAGCACAACTGAAGGAGGTAATTCCTGGAGTTCAGAATAAATATTGCCCCTAATGGAATGTGATTAAACAAATCCTTCCCAGTGGCCTCATTTAGAGTTTAAAGTCTGCTTTGTTTGGTCTTTGTTTCTGGAGGAGAATTTTATTGAGGTAGCTGATGAAAATGGAGAAGAAGAGATTTCGTTCTATTTAGTGACAAAGCTTACCCTTACTATGAATATATAATATTTTACAGAGGAAGATAATAGCAACACATTTTATGGCATCTATTATTTTAAACTAAAATATAATCATATAAAAATTATTAATGGTAGCATCAAATTCAAGAAATAATGAACATGAAGGTGGTTAATGTTTACCAAACATCACATGCCAGGCACCACATGAGGTGCTTTGCATGGATTGTTTTATTAGATCCTCAGAGAAGCCCTATGAAGTAGGTTCTCTCTATGCTATCTTATTCATAGCAAATTTTATTTATGTCTTTAAACTTTAAAGAATTTTCTGTGTGCTCTCTTGGATTTCTGAGATTTTTATTATCGTCTATGAATATTGTAATGAATACTGTATTTCTGTTCAATTCAAATCCACAGTTTCTATTCTTCTCCAGTTTAGAGCTTTAGATTGCTAGAACGTCTTTCCTGCCCTTAACTCTGGCTTCACCTAGTCAGTGCTCTGGCTTTAATGCAGATGGGAGGTGGGTGGGGACACAGAACAGGATCAGAAATCTTTAGGGCATAAGCCTTGCACAAAATGACACTTCTAGTGCCAAAATTGTAAAGTATCTTTTTCTCTCAAATGATAAAGAAAAGCCTTTGAGGACAATTTTTATATGCTGTGTTTCATGTTCATTCAGTTCAAAAATACTTTTCTTACATCTTTGACCCAATTAATTATTAAGTTATGTAAGTTCCCAAATATTTGGGGTTTTTCCAGAAGTCTTTGTATTCCTGATTTCTTATTTCATTCTATTGGTGCCCAAGAACATATTCTGTATCACTTGAATACTTTTAAATTATGGCCCAGAACATGGTCTTTCCTGATAAATGTATGATGTTCACTTGGATAGAAAGGTATTGTCTTATGATATGGAGTATTCAATAAATGTCAAGTTGGTTGAGTTGGCTGATAGTCTTTTTCAAATTATATTCTTACTGCTTTTCTGCCTGTTTCTATCAATTATTTAGAGAGAGGCATTGAAATCTGCGGTTATAATTTTGGGTTTATCCATTTCTTTCTTTTTTTTATCCTTTTTTTTTTTTTTGATGTTGTAGCCAGTTTTGCTTCAAACCTTTTGAAGGTCTGTTATTTTGTGCATAAATGTTTGATTTTACTATGCTCTCCTAATAATTGACCAACTTTCTTTCTTTTCTGTGAGATCTACTTTCATATTAATATAGCCATTTTAGCCTTATTTTTTTTAATATTTATTTATTTATGATAGTCACAGAGAGAGAGGGGGGGGCAGAGACATAGGCAGAGGGAGAAGCAGGCTCCATGCACCGGGAGCCTGACGTGGGATTCGATCCCGGGTCTCCAGGATCGCGCCCTGGGCCAAAGGCAGGCGCCAAACCGCTGCGCCACCCAGGGATCCCTAGCCTTATTTTTGAATACGTAATATATCTTTGATTTCTCCTTATTTTTAACTTATTTATATCTTTTTATTTGGTTTGGACACCCTTAAGTGTCAATATTGGTTTTCTGTCCTCTGGGACCACTCACTTTGTCTAGCCACGAAGTGTCCTATTTCCTGCCTTAGGAAACATGGCTGCCGATGCTGTAGGTGCCAGCTGAGGAGGAGGGGTGAGACAGAGTCTTCCTCATTCAGTGTACGAACTCCCACTTATTTCTCCAGTTGTCTGTCTGGCCTCTCATTGTGTCTTCATCCTGACAGTGTCCCAAGTCCAGAGGCTTTTCAATTCGGAGAATAAAGCAACATCCTGTTTCCAGGGGGGTAATAAGGGAGTACCTGGCAGGTGTGTGGAAATAGGTTAGAGGAATCTTGAGGACTAGCTACTTCCTGGTCAGACCTTCAGTCTTCCTATTTTAGTACCTGGCCCACAGTTTCTGAGCCTCTCCATGATCCTTTGGGGAGAACAGGTTGCTGAATTAATTTCACCTTCTTCATCTTTTTCAGCTTTTCAGTATATGTTGACATTTCTTCTCCACTATTAATTAACTCTGCTTTCCCTTATGAGTTTATACTGTTTTAAATTACTTACTGTCATCATAGAGAGATTTCAGGAAGAGCAGACATAAAGACATGTTGAGTTGGCCATGTTTACCCATAAATTCTACAACAGATTTTTTTTTAAGATTTTATTTATTCATTCATGAGAGATACAGTGAGAGAGGCAGAGACACAGGCAGAGGAAGAAGCAGGCTCCATGCAGGGAACCTGATGTAGGGCTCTATCCCAGGACCCTGGGATCACACCCTGAGCCAAAGGTAGACACTCAACCACTGAGCCACCCAGGTGCCCCATTCTACAACAGATTTGAAACTATATGACTCTGTTCATATCACAACTTTAGTTATATGACATTTCCTAAGCAGAAATGAAGGTTAGAGTACTCTTTTGTTATCTTTTTGGGCATATCAGAAATATATAACTTATTCTCTCCTAAATACAAGTATAGACAATGGTTTGGTATATATTATTGCAATTGTTTTTATTCTTTCTATATATATATATAACATTTTTTATTTCTAAAATAGATTATTGTTCATACCTTTTTGCAATTTGATTTTTCCCTCCATCAGATATTTTTTTATGTCAGTACACATGAACTACCTAATTGTTTTCAGTGGCTAGGTAGTAAGTATTCCATTGGAAAGTCTATCGAAATTTATTATATCATATTTATTGACTGAGCATTACTTTTATTCTTTTTTATGCTTCAGTAAATGTAATACTACCTACAGGAGAATGTTCTAGATTAAATTCCTGGAAATAAAATACTTGGTCAAAGAGCATATTGTTTTCAGATTTGTTTTTTTTTTTTAAGATTATTTATTTATTTATTTATTTATTTATTTATTTATTTACTTGAAAGAGAGAGAGAGTATGTGAGCAGGGGAAGGAGCAGAAGGGCAGGGAAAGGGGAAGGGAGAGAATCACAAGCCAACTCTGCACTGAGCACAGAGCCCATCCTGGGGCTCGATCTCACAACCCTGAGATCATGACCTGAGCTGAAACTAAGAGTCAGACACTTAACCAATTGAGCCACCCAGATGCCCCCATATTATTTTCAATTTTAGTAGATACAGTCAAACTCCTCACTCCCAAAAAATTATCTAGTAGTGAACTTGACCTGTTTGCCAAATTATTTTGTCCATATATATGATACATACATACATTTTTTTCAAAGTGCTATAACTTTTATCCTTGTGAGAGATAATAGACATTCTGACGTAAATGGGTATGTGACATAAGCAGAACTTAACTATAAACCAGAGAGTGATTGGGGATCTCTGGGTGGCTCAGCAGTTTGGCGCCTGCCTTCAGCTCAGGGCGTGATTCTGGAGACCTGGGATTGAGTCCCACATCAGGCTTCCTGCATGGGGCCTGCTTCTCCCTCTGCCTGTGTCTCTGCCTCTCTCTCTCTCTCTCTCTCTCTCTGTCTCTTGTGAATAAATGAGTAAAATCTTTAAAAAATATATATTTAAAAAAAATAGAGAGTGAAAACCAGAGTTAAATTTTACATTTTGACATCCAGTAATTACCATTTGATCCTCTGGTCTTCAATAATGAGACATCTTACATATATATAAGATATATCTATATATGTATATATATGTATATGTATGTATGTGTTTGTGTGTGTGTGTATATATATACATTTTTAAAAATTTATTTACGGATCATCAGTAACCTGCCTTTGGACTTTGAAGTGATGGCTTCCTTCTGAGCTCTGCACTGTTCCCTGCCTTATACATCTCCCGTGACACAGAACTGATATCCAGTCAGTCTGGTTGATCTTCCACCCCACAGGTTACTACTGGAGAACCTGTTCAAGTTCGGTCTGCTTTGCTTCTCTAGGAGGAGTCTATGAGTCTATGAGTGCCATCCACCTCCTTTCCTGCCTTTCCTTGTCTTAGTTTGGAAAGTGCTTATGTTTTAAAAACTCAGGTACTATTTCAGGGGTGCCCGGGTGGTGCAGTCAGTTAAGCGGCTGACTCTTGGTTTGAGCTCAGGTCATGATCTCAGGGTCCTGGGATCGAGCCCCTAGTTGAGCTCCATGCTACGCACTGAATCTGCTTCAGGATTTTCTCTCTTGCCCTTCCCCACACTTGTTCTCATGCATTCTCTGTCTCTTTCTCATAAATAAATAAATAAATCTTTAAAAAAATAATAAAAATTCATATAGTATTTCAATGCTCCTTAACTGAAAAAAGGGTGAAAATCTGCTATTAAATTCAGTCTCATTTGAATGCTTTCCACAATGTTCAAAAACCAAACATTCAGAAACTGAGAAGAGAATGTACCTCTATATACTTTGCTCTGTGGTTCCTCATCTTTCTCTCTTCTTTCTCTTATAGCCCCATCAGTAGCACCTTCGAATGTCACTGTGTCTCTGAATGAATCTAGTCATAAGGTGGATGTCAGATGGATCAAGCCTCCAATCAAGCGGCAGGATGGGGAGCTGGTGGGCTACCGGATATCTCACATGTGGCAGAGTGCAGACACTTCCGTAAGTCTGAACTCTGAAGGAGTTCGCTGGTCTCCTAGGATTTGCTCATTTAATACTGTTGTAGAAGCTTTTGTTTTGTTATGAGAAGATCGGATTTTATTGAATGAGGAATCTTTTCCTGAATAGTTAAAAAAATTCCAGAGAAACTTTGGGGCTTTTCTTCCTGACTCACTCATCCATTCATATATGTATTCCGTAAATATGTTTAGGACCCATTTCCATTATTACTTGATTCGTGACTTCTGGGAACTTGGGCTCTTGTAGGAAGATAGTTGAGACCTACACAGATAACCATAGTGGAAGGTCAAGAAGCTATACAGCTTAGCAGTCCAGCCATTCATAGCCCCTTGGAAACTCCAGAGGATGCTTTTCTGAAGAAGAAAGTCAGGGAAGAACCCCAGCCTCATAGAGAATGGCAAGAGGTAACCAGCCTCCAGAGGACAGGGGGAAACCAGCAACAGGTTACCTTAATGCAGCTCCACAGGAGTAGGGATGATGCCTGCATGTGGGTGGGGAGGCAGCTGCCAGACAGGTTCCCTTCCCACTTGGGAAAGAAAGAGAGTTGAGATGACACTGACTTCTTTGTGACACAGGGCATCCTTGGAAAGGCAGTTGCCCTGACCTCATCATCAGGACTGCCTCTTTACCGCCATCACGCAAAGCAGACTTTTTCCTGATCATCCTAGCCCTGCAGATAGATCAGATTTTAGCATCCTCGTGGCATTTGTGGAGGGCACCACGTGAAAAGTAGTGCAGATACTTGGCAGGAGAGAGGGACAGAGCCAACAGCTGCCCCCGCCGATGATGTCCAAGCTTCATTTCAGTCATTTTTCACCTCATGTCATCCAACTTTTACTGAAACTGCTCTTTCCCTAAAGGGCAGTTGGGATTTCTTCTCCTCCTTCTCCTGACTCAGTTTACCTCTCAGGAAGCAGACTCTTGGAAGCAGTAGGTGATGGAAGTAAAGGAAAAGGAAGAGGGCTTGAAGTCCATGACTTTTTATGCCTCAGAGTGATAACAGAATGTTGTTTGTACAAGTCCAGTCCCTGCTTAGGAGTGTTGCAGCTACCAGAGAAGCCTCTTATTTCTTGGTCTTTTGTCCCAAGGCCACTGTGCAGAGTGCTTATTTGATTAACTGTATCTCTACACTGGCTGAATCAGGGGGATCAAATGCTTCTCTCAGAGAAAAGCTCCTTTCACAATGCTAAACTGTGAACTGTCCATGAAGGTCCATTAATTGTATTTGGGTTCAATAGGATTTTATTTTTCTTTGGTTGGCAGAAGACAGTATTATCAGCAGGCACTTGAGAGGTCTAAAAAAAAACAAAAAACAAAACAAAACAAAAACAGTTTGTTTAAAGAGCTGCAGGTCATCCTGTAGTTGGGGGAATCCATTCCTAGAGAGTTTTGGAATTGGCTTCTAAAAGCATCATTGTCGTCTTGGCTAATTCAGAAGAAAATTAGAACAAAGTGAAATGGTTACAGATGTTTAATGGAAAAAAAGCAAAGTAAAGCCTTTTTTCTCACCTTGCATTGGCAAAACTACCTCTCCACCATTTTTGTTTAACTTTTGAGTCTAAAGCATCTTACCAGTAAGTATGAATGTCATATACATCATTATGAAAATACTATTGCTATGAGATAAGAAGCCATTTATGAATGTCGTATACAACTTTAGGATTTGCATTGAATCCTAAAGTTTTCACCTCCTTTCACATCTATTTACATTATACTCCTATTTACTAAGTGGGGAGGGGGCTTCTTTATATAGTGCTTCATCATTAACAAGTCAGTATCTGTTCTGTTTCTGAGATGTTCTTTTCGTGCATTAAAAAAGTTCAAAATTGGGGATCCCTGGGTGGCGCAGCGGTTTGGCGCCTGCCTTTGGCCCAGGGTGCGATCCTGGAGACCCGGGATCGAGTCCCACGTCGGGCTCCCGGTGCATGGAGCCTGCTTCTCCCTCCGCCTGTGTCTCTGCTTCTCTCTCTCTCTCTGTGACTGTCATAAGTAAATAAATAAAAAAAAGAAATAAAAAAAAAAAGTATCCTTGACGTCTCCTTCTAGTGTGGGTGAAAGCCACTTGTTTGGCAGGGATCTCTGGAGCTGAGGCGCGTTGAGGGGCAAGGGTGAGGAGCACTTCACACGCTAAATGCCACCCGCGCCCCGCTGCACTGCGCCTTCTGGTCGCCCTTTGTTCAGAACAGTCCCCTGTGCGGTGAGAACAATACTGCCACAGTCAGGACTGTGACCTTTCCAGTCATTACCTCCTCAGAGATGCTGGATCACCCCACTGAGAACCTCATTTGCATTGTACTCTTGCTATACTTTGTGCATCGTGATGGTCTCGTGACAACAAAGGACTTAGTGGCTCACTTTACTTAGGATAACATTCTGTGGGGCAGCTAAGATTCAAGCTCCTGGGCCACAACTGGAGGTAAATAAAAACACTCAAGAAAAGCCAAGCCTGGGAGAACCCTAAAGCCCCTGCCCGAAGTGAGGTTTGAAATGACCTCTATCCATCACCTCTGTCTCCCTTCATTTCAGGAAAGCAAGAGTTAAACACAACTTCATCTCAGAATTGTCCTCTCATTTCCATTTTTAGAAAACTGAAACTAAAGGTATATCATCTCTGTGCAAGGCAATGAATTGGATATTTTTGGAGGATATTCCCAGGTGTTACTCTAACAAAGGCGGTTTTTTGTATGCAGTTTCAGAGTTTTCTTGGAAGTTATCTTTGGGTGGGTTATTATCTCCCCCTGTATATCACTTTCAAACTAGGAAACTCCTGATATTTACTGTATGCACATTTACTATATCTTGACCTTTTATTGTTCCATTTTTCTTTATATCCCTTGCATTCCAAACCCAAGCTCAAGATCCAAAAGTTGGGATCAAGTGCAATCTATTCTCCTTAAGGTTGGGGCCATGTCTTGCTCATCTTTGTACCATCCGAGCAGAGGACCTTGTTTTCTAGGCATTTATGATGCTGGACTTGATACATGGACCTGACTGATATCCATGCCAGCTGGAGAGTTTCTCTCTGTGATGGGACAGCTTTTTGATGAGTCTGGAGTAGTATTTCCCATCCATTCCCACTCCTATAAGTTGTCTGTATACCTTTCATGAGAAAAGAATTCAGCAAGCAAATAAGTTTGTAAAATATTGTATAGTATACCCCTTTCTGGAAGATCCACAGTATATACTGGCAAGTTTAAGTCTCTTTGACATTTTTTGGTAAATAAGGCTGTTTAATTTTGACCCTGAATTGCCCATATGTTAAACAGAGGCTCATTTTTATATGTGTTATTCTTACAAAGCTCATTATTATGGGATTGTGGCTCTAATGCTGGCTTAATTGTGTTTGGAAAGGGTAGAGATGTTAGATCAGAAGGAAGTTTTATAGCAGATTATTACGGGTCTAGAGACAACACAACATATAGAAGTAACCTCTTAAAAGACCTAGAAAAGCCACAGCACATGCAAGGATTCCTTCCTCAGGCCTAGACCACTGCCTCCTGACAAGATGCATGCCTGGATTTTGGCATGTGCCCGCTGCCTCTTCCTTTTCTCATTGCTCCCTGTCACTCACAGAGGATTTGAGCTTCTGTCACATTCAGGTATGAGAACTAAGTGCGGTTCTCGTGGGATAGGCCAGCCAGGGGTCTGGAACACTTCTGAAACCCAAGGAATGATCAAGGATGGGATATTTGGTCTAGAGGAGAAACCTACAGTGGAGATAAATTCTCTTAATCAGTCAAATAAACTTCTTGGTTTGGGGAACTAGACAACCTTGATCATTTTCTCTCATGTATCAAGACTTGAAAGATACTGCAAGGTTACTTCTGTAAGAGGGACCACAGAAAGGGAAAGGTGATCCACATAGAGCACTTTATAGATGGTATAGGAATAATAATAACCACCATTGATTACTTACTGTGTGCCAGACCGTGCACTAACTGATGTACATATAGGAATTCATTTAAACCTTAAGAAAACACTGTGAGAAAGATATTATTACTTTCAATGTTTACTTGAGGAAACAAGCTCAGAGATGTTCATTAACTTACTCAGAGTCACAAAGCTTAGAATTGGTAGCAATGGGGTAAGAACCCATGCTGGACTGACTTGAGAGCCAGTGCTTTTCAGAGCCCACTACTCCTTCCCAGATGCCCTTGGCTTTCTTCATAATACAGTGCCTCTTGCTTAAATTCTACTCTGTGGCCTCTTAGCAAAAAGAAATAGGAACAGGGCATGTTTGAAGAGTAAGATGCAAGTTTTGCACAAACCCCTGTGAATGTGAAGCCTGCTAAGCAAGTCACCTTTGTTGTTGTAGGATGACAGAAACTTTTATCTCACAATGCTTTCCCATGAATGTCACCATTCTTTGAGGCAATAGGATGGGCCTGGGCCTTATTCTAAATTAGAGTTATGAATTACAGAGCTGTGAATTCTTACAGAGTTGGTTGGAGATATTAAAGTCTTTGGATAACTGGAAACCAATACCTCTGCAGTTGCCCTAACTCTAGTACCTCTTAAGAGAAGAAAGAAATTGTGTCTCCAGAGATGTGCTATTACTTTCCCCAGCAAGCACGGTCCACGTGTTTTCTGGGTAGGTAAAGTTGTAATCAGATGTCATATTATAAATCTGATTATTACCTGAAAAGGCTCTTAGATTTTTAAGTCCTTGAGGTTCCAGGCCTTTGTTGGTGAAGATGAAAAGCTCACAGAATGAGAAAGACGTAGTTAGCCCATGGCGTGTGCCCCAGGACCTGACCACCTCATGCCAGGGAAATGGCCACACCTTCTGTGCTTGGCACCCTGACATCAAGAGAGATAATACACACAGGAGTGGCTCCTACATGTGTCTGGTTTTATTTTTTTATTTTATTTTTTATTTATTTATTTATTTATTTATTTATTTATTTATTTATTTATTTTTTAATTTTTATTTATTTATGATAGTCACACAGAGAGAGAGAGAGGCAGAGACACAGGCAGATGGAGAAGCAGGCTCCACGCACCGGGAGCCCGATGTGGGATTCGATCCCGGGTCTCCAGGATCGCGCCCTGGGCCAAAGGCAGGCGCCAAACCGCTGCGCCACCCAGGGATCCCTATTTTTTATTTTTTTAAAGATTTTATTTATTTATTCATGATAGACAGAGAGACAGAGAGAGGCAGAGACACAGGCAGAGGGAGAAGCAGGCTCCATGCCGGGAGCTCAACATGGGACTTGATCCTGGGACTCTAGGATCGCGCTCTGGGCCAAAGGCAGGCGCCAAACCACTGAACCACCCAGGGATCCCCTTGTGTGTGGTTTTAAATGGATTTCTTTGTCAAATTTCAAAATCAAAATCAATATTTGGGGGCAGCCCCAGTGGCCCAGGGTTTAGCACCGCCTTCAGCCCGGGGTGTGATCCTGGAGACCTGGGATCGAGTCCCACGTCAGGCTCCCTGCATGGAGCCTGCTTCTCCCTCTGCCTGTGTCTCTGCCTCTCTCTCTCTCTCCCTCTCTCTCTCTCTGTCGTGAATAAATAATAAAATCTTAATAAATAAACAAACAAATAAATATTTGGGGATATGGATATGGTCACACCTCTCTTTACATATTTGGCATCAAAAGAATATGGATAAATTACATCCATTTTTTAAAACAGATCATTTTGGGGGGCACCTGAATGGCTCAGTCTGTTAAGCATCTGACTCTTGGTTTTGGCTCAGGACATGATCTCAGGGTCATGAGATCAAGTCTCGTGTCAGGCTTCATGCTGGGTGTGGAACCTGCTTGAGATTCTCTCTCGCTCTGCTCCCAAACCTCCCCCCCCCCCGCCCCATCTTACTTGAGCACTCATGTAGTCTCTCTCTCTCTCTCAAAAATAAATACATAAATAAAAACAGGAATCATTTTTAAACTATCATTTAAGGGGCAGCCCAGGTGGCTCAGTGGTTTGGTGCCTGCCTTCAGCCCAGGGTGTGATCCTGGAGACCCGGGATCAAGTCCCCCATCGAGCTCCCTGCATGGAGCCTGCCTCTCCCTCTGCCTGTGTCTGTGCCTCTCTTTCTCTCTGTGTCTCTCATGAATAAATAAATAAAATCTTTTTTTTTTTTTAAATTTTTATTTATTTATGATAGAGAGAGAGAGAGAGAGAGAGAGAGAGGCAGAGACACAGGCAGAGGGAGAAGCAGGCTCATGCACCGGGAGCCCGACGTGGGATCCGATCCCGGGTCTCCAGGATCGCGCCCTGGGCCAAAGGCAGGCGCCAAACCGCTGCGCCACCCAGGGATCCCAATAAAATCTTTTAAAATAAATAAATAAATAAATAAATAAAATATCATTTAAGGATATTCTTAGAGAAAATGATTACACCTCTACTATAATATTTATCATCCATCTTTCTAATCACTACTTCAGCATTATAGCTCCAGCCCTCAAATGGGAAAATTTTTTATGTATTTCCAAAACATATTAGCTATAAGCAGTAGCTGACATCATTTCCGTACTTCAAGATTCAGAGTGATGACACCAGCAACCACGATGATACCATTGTTAATGAACTTAAGGAATGAGAGGTAGAAATTTCAGAGTTCCTTCTCTGAGTTTTCATAGTAAGTTATAGGACCTATGTGAATAGATATTATCAACTACTGTTACATTTATTTCCCAAAGGACAATTTTGTTTTAGAGTACCTCTTCTTCTAGGGATTGAATTCTTTCTCAATTATGCATGTCCTTTAATCTTGAGATAACTCTCACAAATGATGTCTTATATTTGAATTCTGGCAGTTGAAAACCATGAAGCTGGAAGCAGGCTCAGTGGCCCTCACCAGGCATGACATCTTTTGCACTATCAGGAGCTTTTAGGTAGTAAACTGTGTAGTAGACATGTTATTTCTCAGCTGCCAGCTGGACTCACTGCAGAGCTCTCGTTTGGACCATGGAATGGCTCTACTTGATTCGTCCCCTCCAAATTAAATAGAAAATGCCAACAAACTCATAGTCAAAACTGGGTTTGCCATAAATAAAATGCTGTATTTCTAAAAAAAAAAAAAAAAAGATATTGCCCAAATATACAGAAAAATCTTAATTATTGTTTGTTGACTTAATAAAAAAAAAATCAATGACAGATGTCCTTGGCATGCAGCCCAGTGGCATAGAAAAAACAAAAAATTATAAAGCCCTGTTTTCCCCTTTTATCCCTTGTCTGAGGTTATTTCTGAGTCCTGATGATCACTGCTTGTCTAGATTTAGAAAATCTCTGGGCGGCTGACCCAGGTACCCTCTTGGTCATTAATGATGGGACTGCCTTCTCCCTAAGGGCTGAGCTGACCGCACCCTGCACCACTGTTAGAAGTGATCACTGTTAGAAGAAGGAGACAAGGTGACCAGGGAATAAAGTTGCCACCTGAACCAGGCCCCTCCTCATTGTGATCCACACCCATACCGTATGACACTTCTCTCTTTGTTTCTGTGAAATCAGATTGTCAAAATGCAGAGATTAAAGACATGTTCCTGGGGGGGCCTCATTTCAACCTTCACCAGCCCTCCAGTTCCCATTTGAAAAGCCAGCCCCCAACTTAAAATTAATTTCTTACACCATAGGACAGCATGGTTGAGGTTTGGAAGCAAAGGGGAAAGTGTTATATAAGCACTCAAGCCTGGTTTTGGGGTTTCTTGTGCTGTTGTTGTTGTTGCTTTTTCCAAAAATTATTTCCCCTATGTTTTAATGGCACATGTTGCATGGCAGTGGTTATAAACCAAAATAAGTAAAAGTGAAACCAGATTTTTAGAAATTGAGAAAATTGTGCATGTATCACACAGGAGGGAAAAAAAAACAGTATTAGTGTCCTCCTTAAAGTAGATTTTAGCCAAAACTTTTATCATTGCAAGGAACAGGAGCCCATGCCTATGGGTTCCAGGGAAGTTGGCAGGCGGTCAATGTCAAGGTACAGTGTGGCTCTTGGGCTTTATATTGTGGTGGTTCTGAGAGCAGAGATCTCTAGAGGGGGCATTAACCCTAAGCCTAACTCTTGCCATCCAGCTGCCTCTGCTGCATGCTCTTCCCTTCCAGGGGATTCTTTACTGACCATTCTTAGTGCCATGCCCTCATAGCCTTAGTTGGCCCAGGCCCCAAGGCCTGAGGTTGCTGTAAGCTCATTCTGCATCCCTGCCCACCTTTTGGTTCTGTTAACTATGGCCTGAGTAAGGAAGGGATGCGGTGGAACCACAGCTGCTGCTCCCTGGGATGTGGGTGGGACGACTTCCCTCAGAAGAATTGTGGGCAAGCAGGCGACGTCCCCTTGGCGCCTCAGAATTTCATCTCCCTTCCTTCCTCTTCTGTCCCCAGAAAGAGCTGTCTGAAGAAGTTGGCCAGAATGGCAGCCGTGCTCAAATTTCTGTTCAAGTCCACAACGCGACATGCACAGTGAGGATTGCTGCCATCACCAAAGGGGGCGTCGGGCCGTTCAGTGACCCAGTGAAAATGTTCATCCCCGCACACGGTGAGAGCCAGGCTCCTTATCAGCTGATAGAATGTGTCAGTCTGGGCGGTGCTCTGATTGCAACAGTGACCCATTGGCGGGGGCATCTGGTGTTAAGAATGATAAACAAAGGGCAGCCCGGGTGGCTCAGCGGTTTAGAGCTGCCTTCAGCCCAGGGCATGATCCTAGAGACTCGGGATCGAGTCCCGTGTCGGGCTCCCTACATGGAGCCTGCTCCTCCCTCTGCATGTGTCTCTGCCTCTCTCTCTCTCTATGTCTATCATGAATAAATTTAAAAATCTTAAAAAAAAAAAAAAAGAATCATATACAAAGACCAAAGGAAATTTTTGCAGTGATAAAGATAGTTTTCTCATATACCACTCCCCAGAGCACTGAGACCTGTGAGTCCTCCCACTACCATTACTACTGATGGGATTAAGTTACGACAAAGATTATTAGTCCTTTCAGAATACCAAATTTGACTTGGCCTACTGAGGTTAGTTTAAATGATGTCTACATGACCGTGTACATAGATAGGCAGTGAGGCTCATCCGTAGGGCTCTTAATGGGCTCTGTTTATTTATGTGCTAGTGTTTGTTTCCTGTGTTTTAAGCTTCCTGTGTTATTAATCACTCAAGCTTTGGTGATGTCTTTCGTGATCGATTGGTACAGAACATGAATCATTGCCTACCAAAGCTGTCCTTACACGGCATTGGGCTAACTGAGCTAAGTGGTCAAGCCTGTGTGCTGCCTTCTGTGTGTTGTTGGAGTGTCCTCTGGCAAGGTGCCACCATGGTGCCCCCGTGGCCCCAAACACTGTACTTGCTTCTGTAGTCCAATGGATCCACCTTTTCTGACCCTCACTCCCCCATTAAACTGCTGTCATAAACTCCATGCACAGGCATCTCTATTGATGTGATTTTTGTATTTACAAGTTCTTGCCAAATATGATCTTTGTACCTGTACCAGACAGCACTTGGGAGTGAGCCATTGAGTGCCTGTCTGTGTGTTTTAGTGACCTTCAAACATGCTGAAATGGAACCATTTTACAGTTCCTGCAGCCCATGGGCTGTGTGGTAGTAGTAACTGGTGGTGGCAAGCAAGGTGTGTCTACCTGGTAGAAATTCAGAGGTGATAAGATTCTGCTTCTAAGGGCACAGGTTAAAAAAAAAAAATCAGACTTTAAGAAGACAGAGCTTTCACCTTTATATAACAAACTCAAACATTCTACAAAGCTGAGCTATTCCGGCAATCCTTGCTTTGCATGATTCCAACATACATACATTTCAGCTACCACAATTTGGTTAAATAACACTAGTTTCCCAATCACGTGGTCCGAACTTGAGTTACCATCATGTATTATCTGTGAGTAATTGTGTGAAGTATAAACTTCGCCTCTAGCTGTCTAGTCCACAAACCACTATGTAAATAAATAACAGATGCGCATAGTGATCATGGCTAGTCTTATCAGTTGTTTCAAAGTCTCTCGGTGGCTGGATACTGCTCTTACCAAATGCATGTGATTTGAATAACTTATTCAGAGGCATCTAGTAAGACCTCTAGCCATGATGCCTCCTTATCTCCCAGGAACACACCACACAAGACTTTATAAAAATAAGTTACTGAAAGAGAGAGTCCGTGAACAAAGATAAAGTGCAGCAAAGAAAGTGCAGGAAAGAAAGGAAGAGTGTAAGTGTTGAAGTGAAATTTGAATTGAATGTGGAGTTACGGAAGACACAACTGACCAGCAGTCAAACACTGCTGCCATTTGATTGACTAGCTCTGCAGCCAGGGAACATGGTGAAGGTGACTTTACAACGTGAGCGAAGTGGCTATGCCAGAAAGAAGATGGCCCCGAGGAAGTTAAACTAGCAAAAATCTTCATATAAAGGAACTCTCACAACATTGAAAACATAAAGGGTAAAATGTTGGGAATGAATCCAAACCCAGAAAGGAGTATGAGAATTCTGCAGGGCATAGAAAATATATTCTTGCTATATCATAAGTTATGTGACCAGAAGAAGATAAGTACTATTCAAATCACTCTGGATCAGTATTTTACAAAGAAGTGCAATTTTTTATTCTCAATATTTCTAGTGTCTTAAATTAAATATGAGTAAATATGAGTTTTACCATGTTTTTCAATTCCTTACACATTCATATCTGATGTGAAGAGAGTCACCCAGTGATTATTAGAATCACTGTACATGGTCCCTGCTTGCACCATCAGAATGAGGACTGCCTGCATATGTTGATCACAAAGTATAAAAGGACTAAGTTCTAGAGCTTTTGACTGTCTTCTTTCCCTATTATAAGCCAATGTGTCTTATGTACTCTAGATCTCAAAGAAATGTTTTCAATTATTGATTCTGTTGGTATTTTACTAGGCTGGGTAGATTTTGCCCCCTCGTCAACCCCAGCACCTGGCAATACAGATCCTGTGCTCATCATCCTTGGCTGCTTTTGTGGATTTGTTTTGATTGGGTTAGTTTTATATATTTCTCTGGTCATCAGAAAAAGAATCCAGGAGACAAAGTTTGGGTAAGTGTCCCAGCTTCAAATGTTTTGCCTAGGGTTATCATGTGCTTGTTATGCCAACTCATAATGCCTCTCCTGCTGGCTCAGCTCCTCATGTTCTGCCCAGCTGGGTGCCCTGTCTTATGTCCATCCTGGGGGCAGGCAGTTTCCTTGCCTAGGCCAGTCCTACAGAGGCAGCCAGCGGTAAAAGCTGGCCTTAAAAGGGGCTCATTTATGGAAGAGAGCATTAATAGGCCTTCAGTATTCAAACTTACTTGCCATAAAATGAGGATTTTAGTTGGAAGACTTCAAAATAATGCTAATTCTTTTTTTAAAAAACAGATGAAATGAGGTGCCTAGGTGGCTCAGTCAGTCAGGCGGCTGCCTTCAGCTCAGGTCATGATCCCAGGGTCCTGGGATCGAGCCCCATGTGAAGCTCCCTGCTCAGCGGGAGTCTGCTTCTCCCTCTGACCCTCTCCCTTGCTTGTGCTGTCTCTCTCTCTCTCTCTCTTTCAAATAAATAAATAAAATCTTTTTTTAAAAAAAAACCAAACATACATATAGATAAAAATGCTGGAAGTTCACCAAAGCATCAGCAATTCTGGATAAGTGTGGACGATTCTGCGTTTTCTTTTTTTGCTATATTTTATACATTTTCTGTAGTGATCAGTTAGTTTTCTAACAGAGAAAAACTTTATATTTTCACACTCAAGTGTAAAAGAAGTTCTTGTTCTGATTTTCTATACATCTGACTTTTATAGCAGTAGTCCAGTATCAACAAAAATGGGCAGGCACATGAAGGCAAGCTGGGAAAAGAAGGGTATGTGTGCAAATTTGTTTCTGACTCAGTTTTCTACGCCAGTGCCTCTGTAGTGAATTTGAATTTCCACGAAATCCAGTTTACCACTCATGGGACAGAGGAAGAATTCTGTAAAAGGCAAGTTGTTGACAGCCTAGAATGGGACAGAGTGAGGGAAAGTGAGTGACTCTGTTTTGGAGGGAGCTGAGCAACTTTTGTTCATTGCTACATCTTAGGAATGCTACTGTAATGTTCCACTCTAGGACTTTCCATTGCCGTGGAGGGGGGCTTGAGAGTGGAGGGTAGACTACCCTTTATTTGTGCCCATCCTAGTCTTAAGGGTTGGGTACCTTCAGTACTTACTAACTCTATCCTTATCATTATTATATCTTAGTATGTAGATTCTGACTGTTTTAAAGAAATGACAAAATCTGATCTAAATCCTGAACATAGAGTTGACTGAAATGCACCCCAGAGTCAAGGTGTGTCTCACTGTGAAACAGGTACTGAGAACCTCTGCAAAAGTTGTAAGATAGCTCAGTAAAATGTATTGAAGGCCCCCTAGGTGATAGCCTGGATACAAGACTGAACCAAAGCCAAGCACTGCTCCTGCCTTCTGAGTGCTTACAGTTAATGGAGAATCAAGCAGTAATCACAAGTAAATATAAAATGGCAACTGTTAAATCCTTTATTTTATAAAGGGAAATGTGAGAGTGTATGATGGGAGAATTTGACTGCATTAAGAAAGTCAAAAAAGGTTTCCCTGCAGAAGTGATCTGAACTAACATCTAAAAAGGGGCAGGTATTCATTATGTGAAAGACAAAGGGAAGAGGATTATAGCCAGAAAGAGCAGTACATGCAAAAACCCTGTGGGGGCAGGGAGCCTGGCATACAGAGGGGAAGGCACTAGACTAGAAGATATGATGCTGGGTTCTGGCATCAGTTCTGTCACTTAAATAGGACATAGTTATTTTTCTCCCTTTCCTTAGTGTACTCTTTGAAAACAAGTCAACATGCATAGCCCACACTTACCAGGATGAGTTCTACTTCCTTCACCCTTGAAGGGCATAGTATCCACATAAAATATTTAGGGTTCTTCTACAAAAGTTTGTCTCTACACCTCATTTATGCATTCAATCATAACATAGCAGTATGGACTCGTGGATATTCATTTTATACTTTGGATTATAATCCAATACTAGTTTATTTTATTACTCAGACTGTTACAGCTTTGGCCATTGGGAACTTCTCAGTTGTTCTGTGTTCTTTTTTTTTTTTTTTAAGATTTTATTTATTCATTTAAGAGATGAAGTGCATGAACAGGGGAAGGGGCAGAGGGAGAGGGAGAAGCAGGCTCCTCAACTAAGCAAGGAGCCCCATGTGGGGCTCCATCCCAGGACTCCAAGATGACTTAACCGAAGGCAGATACTTAACCGACTGAGCCACTCAGATGCCTCTATTCTGTGTTTTTGATAGTACTTGGACAGAGTTATTTTGATTTCACCAAGTAAGCCTGAAATAGAGCTAGGGAAAGAAAACTTTTTCTCCCAATGGGAAATGCCTTTGTCATAAAAGAGGTGTTTGAACAGACAGTGGCTTGGTGACATCCTTGTAGAATCAGCACCTGTTCAGGGAGCCCTTTTTAATAATATGAGATGTCTTTATTTTTATTCACCCAGGAACGCCTTCACAGAGGAGGACTCCGAATTAGTTGTCAATTATATAGCAAAGAAGTCCTTCTGTCGGCGAGCCATTGAACTTACCTGTAAGTTAACTTTCATTTCCCTTTTCTGATAAAAGCTAAAGTAGTTAAGAGCAAAGAAAGAACAAGTTAATTGACAGGTTTCTAACAAAAGCCAAAGGAGTCAAAGAATGGTTATTTTTAACATGCAAAAAGTCTTCAGAAACCAGCAAGTAGATAGTCATACGTAACCATGTGCTTCCCTGGTGGCTGGTTTACTGGAAATCTAGAGCGGGCCCTGAGGTGAAGTGGCCAGGGTTCAAGACTCCTAACACCGCAAACAGGAACTCATCACAGTGATAGCAGATGTGGTTAGAGGTCAGAGATTTAAAGAAAACAGCAAAGCAATTGACATAATCTCTGAACTTATTTCCTGCTTTTTTGTGGCAACCAATTCAGAACAATTTCCCAGCATACTTTATAACAATTATGGTTTGAGTTTTGAGGAATCGAACTGGAGCCTTCTAGTGTGAAGAGTGAGAATAAACAGACAGCTGTGTTCTTGATTAATAAAGAAATAGTGTAAAAAGTATGTCCAAATATTTATCAAATTCAAGCTTCTGGATGTTTGCCAAAAACAAAACAACGAAAAACAAATATAACTATGATAGAATACTAGGTGCTATGAAAACAAAAACTCATTTGAGGTGGAATGTTTTTTATTTTATTTTTTTTTTACTTTTCTAGTTTACAAGTTTTGACTTTTAGATATCTGTTCTTATATTTAAAAAAAAATTCTTCATTGAGACCAATTTCTTTCCTTTATTAGAGGACCATTTGGGTGAAATTTTTTCTCTAAGAGCTAATGTGTCTTTCCTAATTACCTACATTTTTTTCTTTCAAAGGCTTTGTTCATGCCTTAACTATGGAGCAAACTGAATCATTTGCCAAAGAGTTATTGATGGTTAATTCCTCTTCTTGGTAACACTTATTGTTGGTGCTGCATACTGATACCTTATAGATAGAAGATCTATTTTCCACTCCCCCCCGAGTCCTCAATTTAGCACTTTTTTAAAAGATTTTATTTATTTGAGATAGCACAAGCAGGGGAGAGGAAGAAGCAGACTCCCTGCTGAGCAGGAGACCCATTGCAGGGCTCAGTCCCAGGATCCTGAGATCACAACCTGAGCAGAAGACAGATGCTTTAACCTACTGAGCCACCCAGGTGCCCAATTTAGCACTTGTTATATCATTATAATGAGGTTCCATATACTATAGGTAGAACAATAGCTAGTTCTTTCAATGTTTCCTATAGTTTCTGTGGCTCCTTTGCTGGCATGGGACAGGGGAGGTAACCCCATGGCTCTTTTTTATATTATAGTTAGGGACAAAATAGCAAATACTCCACCAGAAAGTGCCTCCTTGACTATCTTTCTTCCTCCTTTAAATCAAGGCAACCTCCCCCCAAACCCCCACTCTGCCAGCCTGCAGGAATCTGCTTGCTGGCTGCTGCTACTGCATAGTGGGAAGAGAAACATGGTTCTGATTTTAATAATCCTTCAAAAATTAATCTTGCACTGAAGAATCCATTTTACTCATTTTAATCAGAGTAGAATTGTGATAATTTATTATAGGCTTTTTGTGGGGAGAGCCACGGGTACGAAATGAAGAAATTGTTTAACTCTTTCATAGAACTGTATATATAATTTTAATTCTATTCAAATGAAAGGGAGCATACTGACAGCTCTTATACATACTCTCACTCCTTTATAGTGCATAGCTTGGGAGTCAGCGAGGAACTGCAAAATAAACTAGAAGATGTTGTGATTGACAGGAATCTATTAATTCTTGGAAAAATCCTGGGTGAAGGTATGTAGTATTTTTTAAATGCGTATTTATTATGTAAAATACCATCTTGTGACTTTAAGTTACAAGACAAACAGTTCTATTTTATAACTTATTAAAATGAAAAAGTAAATGTGTAAATACTGGTTTTTGAAACTCAGATTTGGCATATGAAAAGGGCCTCTACAGTGCCTTGCACATGCAATAGGCCCTTAAAAAATATTAATTCCCTTCCTTCATTGAAAAACATGCGATTTATTGGTTGGTTTCTTATATACTCTATCTCTAGTTCTTAAGTTTACTGTTTTGGGCCCTTTCCTAATTATTAAATAGGAACAAAAGTAAAGATACATATTTAATTTGTCAAACTGATGGTAGGATGAATGATAATAGTATTTCTACTTTATAAATGTCAATAACATGTTCCATGTTGCTCTGTAAGTGTCTTGGATTGGCTATAATTCCTAATAAAATGACAAGCTAAGCCGAGCATGAGCCAACCAAGCTTGTGACAAGCAGGAAGCTAGTGCATGGCTTGTGTTCCTGGTTTGCCAATGTGGGTGGCCCCAGCAGGCTCTGCCCCGCTGCCATGTATGGGTCACTCTCAGGCCACATAAAAACAGCAGCTGGGAACTGTAGCGTTTCTGTGGTGGGGGAAAATTCCGCACAATCTATATAGATGATGTCTTACTTTCCAGGAGAGTTTGGGTCTGTGATGGAAGGAAATCTAAAGGAGCAAGATGGGACCTCTCAGAAAGTGGCCGTGAAGACCATGAAGTGTGAGTTATCACTGATGAAATACCTTCCAGTGGATATGGGCAGTTGCTTCAGTGACCTTGTACTCTGTAAGGCCAATGCTGGGGTTCCTGTGTCATGATCTCAGTCACTGATGTGTCAGAGGGCCACATCCAGAACACTACGGTCACAGAGGGAAAGTGACCATCAGGAGCTCTTCATATATTCTTGTACTCAAGGCAGTTATATTTGTTATCTATACCACACCTTCCTCACTGTATCTTTCTCTCTCTCTCTCTCTCTCTCTCTGGACCCTCTCCCTCTTCCCCTCACTCTCATCTAGTAGAGCAAATGACTCCAAAGTAAAGCATGAATTTCTGAGACAGGGCCAACCTGGTGGCAGCCTCTGACCACCCCCCCCCCCCAGGGTTGGTTTGGCTGATCTGGCCAACTCGGTGGGATCACTTCCTCACTTGAGGATGATTGCATAGTCCCCAGGAAGCTGTGGGCTGCCTGGAAGGTATATTTCTCCAAGAGAGAAGACATATTGATGGGTCAAAGGCATGTGAAGAGCAGTGATCTCAAGCTGCCACCTCCAAGCAAGCTGAGAAGAGAGCCTGCAGCCAGGCCTTATAAGTCATCACCAAGAATCTGTTTTTATCCCATGAGCAGGAGAGCACCAGTAAGAGTCTAAAGCAAGTGAGGAATAAAAGCAGATCACATTCTAGAAAGTTCACTTTGGTGACAGTATGAAGGAGAATGAATTACAGTCTTGACAAAGACAGATGCTTGTTAGGGCACTCTGTGCATTTGTCTATCTAGATAAGGGACCTAGGCTCAGAGGTCAAATAGCTTAAAAGGCAGAAGGTTGTGGTGGACTTTTTTATCACCATGCATTGACCAGGCTGCAGTGATGGAACATGACAGCAATTGCCCTCATGCTCTTCCCTAGGAAGTACATTTCCAGGGCCTGGGGATGCAGAACTGTGTAAGCTTTATTCTTCAGGTGTCCAGCTGGGCACCCACAGAATAGACCGTGATTGTTTGGCATTTTACGTATCTTCACAATTCATATATAGAGAGATTATATGAGCTTCATTTGTTAATGTCTTTAACACTGCTTCCTCATTTACCCCCTGTATATATCCAATATTATTTCTGATTAAAGAGTAAAATTGGTTTCTTCCTAAAATTTAAATTCATTATTTCCTGGGCATTGAAACATAAATTAAATTACAAGGATGTAGTGAGACTTTTTAAACAGAACTGGAGGCTGAAATTTTAATTCAGTGACAAAAAGGAACCTTAATAACCAGCCAGTCACAGGGGCTGGTGCCTTCTGTTTTCCAAAGCTTTCTGTGTGTATATAATGGCCAATACTTATGTAATACTCCCTGTGTGCCAAAGGACATCATAGTCATTCCTACATTTCATCAGGAAAACAGGAAGAGGAAATCAGTGCGACTAGGAAGTAGATTCAAGTATTATTCCCTGGAAACCAAGACACCTGCAGTTAGTCACCGGAGCTGAAGCTGGTACAGAGCCAAGTCTGGGTGCTGAGCCACATCCAGCGTCGTTCCTGCCCCTTGCATTATTTTATTTGAATCTGGTCCACATAAAGTCTCCTTCCATTGTCCCCAATTACTGAGTGGAAGGTTTAGGGAACCTTGTAAGGGGGCTAGGCCTGAAATCTGTTTCCTCTCTGGCTTTGGCTATGCATTTCTTTGACTGAATTAGAATAACTTGCATATGAATTGCATCTGTGCTCATTATCAAAGATTGAAAGAGTTGTCTCTGGCCTCTGCATCCCTGGCTGGTGCACGTTTGCCTGGCATGTTGGTCACTTGGCGAGGGGTGGGGGAAGGAGTACAGAGGATGGGAGGAGTTTGCAGGCAGTTTCCACACACCTAGTTGTCTTAGCAAAAATAATAGGTGAGGACAAAGGTAGCAGGCCATTTTGCAGGTCAATATAATTGTTTTTTTTTTTCTTTTTCTTAAATTTGTTTTAATAGAAAGGTGAATGTATACAAAGCCCACAGAATGTATGGACACTGCTAGATGCACTCACCGTGATTTCAGTGAAAACTTACTAGGTTAAAGCAAATTCCCTAAGGCATGCCTGGCTTTATGTTTGTTTTTCTTTGTTTTTAATTGTAGGAAAATACATATAAAATGTACCATCCTAACCATTTTTAAGAGTACAGTCCAGTGGCATTAAGGACATTCACCTTGTTGTGCAACCATCACCACCATCCACCTCCAGAACTTTTTTCATCTTGGAAAACTGAAACTCCAGATGCATTCAACAACTTCCCATCTCCCCTGCCCCCGCTTGCCCCTGGCTACCACCATCCTCCTTTCTGTCTCTGTGAATTTAACTACCCTAAGTCCCTCAGAAAAGTGGAATCACACAGTACTTACCTCATGTGGTTTACGTCACTTAACATAATACAGGATTTTAGGTATCTCTCTCAAGTTGGCTTAATCCCCAAAATGGTATGGTGTGGAAGTTGGGAAAGTCTGTCCAGTTCACAAGGCATGATTGAGCAACCAGCCTTGCAAGATAGAGAAAAGCATGTGTTCTTTCCCTTTTTTGAGGCAAAAATAATTGCAACAGATCAGTTGCATTGGACTCTCAGGGTTGTTGTTTTTTTTTTTTTTTTTTTTAGCTATTATACTTTAATTTTTAGTGGAGTTTTAGGCTTATAGAAAAATTGGGCAGAAAATACAGAGCTCCACCCTTTCTCTTCACAGTCTTCACTATCTTTAAAGTCTTTCATCAGTGTGGTGGATTTTTATTTTAAAGATTTTATTTATTTATTCATGAGAGACAGAGAGAGGCAGTGATATAGGCAGAGGGAGAAGCAGGCTCCCTGCAGGGAGCCTGATGCGAGACTCAATCCCAGAACCCTGGGATCACGACCTGAGTCAAAGGGAGATGCTCAACCACTGAGCCACCCAGGTACCTCAGTGTGGTGGATTTTTTCCAAATGATGTACCTATGTGATACATTATTAACTGAAGTCTATAAGTTACATTTAACATTCACCGTGTACTGAACCTTCTATAGGTTTTGACAAGTACAGCATCCTATATGCACCATCACAGTATCATACAGAAGTTCCACTGCCCTAACATCTGTGTGCCACCTGTCCATTCCTCCCTGCCCACCTGTCTATTTCCTGTTGCTGTAGTTTTGCCTTTTCCTGATTTTACTTTTAGAGAACAAAATTGCTCTTACCTTTCCCTTTCACTGAGTAAATTATTGGTGCCTACCATTTTCCATCTTTTCTTTTAGTGGACAACTTTTCTCAGCGAGAGATTGAGGAGTTTCTCAGTGAGGCAGCGTGCATGAAAGACTTCAACCACCCAAATGTCATCCGACTCCTAGGTAACTTCAGAGAAGTCTGGGATTGGGGGGATAGCGGGGTCTGGCTAATCCACTCCGTACCAAAGGAAGAGTCTCTGGGGCAGATAAGGTTATACTCTGTATAACCCACAGGAATTGATAATACTGAGTTTTTTACCCCAAAGACTTACTACAGTTATATTTTCTGAGGCTGACGGTAGAAATAGGCTTGCATTATCTGGACACTCCAAGGGCTCAAGAACACTTAGCGTCCACAGAATTCTAGGTGACTATGGGGTAAAACAGGGCCCCCATGTTACTCCCAAGCCAAGACAAAAGCTTATGCTAAATTATGTTACAATTTTTATTATCCATGAATCAAATACCAGTGCGATAAAGCTGTCAAAGTAGACAAATTCCATAGATCATCTCTGAGAAACAATTTATTAATATATTTTCAAGTATCGATTTCCTAGGACCTATACTGCTGGTTTCATGGGACATGGTTTAATAGAATTTCGTTTTGTGGCCCTGTAGCTATCAGATTGCTGTGTGAGTGCCACTATGCCAAGATAGAAGAGCAACCTAAAAATTCTAAATTCTTTGGGGAACTTTCAAAGTTTTATTATGGTCAAAGCTGCAGGGAGATGTGAAAAATAATGCTTGGATACAATATCATTTCAAGGAAACCACTGTTACTTCTATGTAGGTATTGATTTTTGCAGACTCTGAGAACCATCATGCTTTGCGATTAATGGGCCGTGATGTGCAAGAGCTTTGCAAGCCTGACATTAGGTGACAGGCCCTCGTACTAGGTTTCCATGATAAATGGTGTTTCCCGTGTATAACTTAAAATTTAGAGGCATAAAAAAAAAAAATTAGAGATGTGAATTTTACCTATCCCACAGAACTAGTTTGCCCTTGAATTTTATTGTAGTCACTACCCCTCACTTAGGCTCAGTGTAACAAAAGATGGCCACATTTGTTACAGATTAATGTTTGAGAACTCTCATGCAAAGATTGGCACTAATCTGAAAGAAAAAAAATATCAAGAAGTGGACCAAGCATGTGTTCCATATTCTAATACTCAGTTTGTGTGAGTTACGGATATTTCTTTTCTTTCTCTCCTTATTATTTTTTTTTTAAGTAGACTCCGTGCCCAGCATGGAGCCTAAGACAGGACTTGAACTCATGACCCTGAGATCAAGACCTGAGCCAAGATCAAGAGTCAAACTTATAACCAACTGAGCCACCCAGGCGCCCCATGTTTATTTATTTTTTTAACTATTACCTCAAGAGCACATGGTTTCAATTTGGCCAGTGCTCCTGCAGCGCTTTTCTGGTTACTGGTAACAAGGGCTCTTTGTAACTTTCTCTGGTTTTAATTTCAGGTGTGTGTATAGAAATGAGCTCTCAAGGCATCCCAAAGCCCATGGTGATTTTACCCTTCATGAAGTATGGGGATCTGCATACCTACTTACTCTATTCCCGACTAGACTCAGGACCCAAGGTAATTACCCCGTCGTATTGCCTCTGAACTGGGCCTTGGGCTGCCGTGACAGGGCCTGGGAAATATCAGCCTCTAACCTTGAAAATAAAGTAGGGAGGGAGAGGATGTGGCCTTTGTTCAATGTTCATTGTGCACCCTGGGGATTGAAATGTGGTATCTGTCCTCACAGCAGGCCCTTCTCATAGGGAGGAAGAAGCTGGCTGGGCAGCTGGGTGCACAATCTCATGGCTCAAGCCTCATGGCAATGAGGGCAGGGGACAGGGCCCACATGCAGAGTGGCCTCTTTCTTTTGAAGTCTCCTCTTTCCAGCTCGTTCACTCTGAAATCACTAGAAGCAGGATCCGTTTCATTCCCAGAGGGTAGTTGCACTGAGCTGTTTTTCTGGACACTGAGCATGAATGTATTCCATCCACCTTTCCATTTATCAAGAGCCCTTCTGTCCTCAGGATCAGAAAGCATGTGAATTAGGGGGCCGACATGCTTTCTTTCAACAGTGCCCCTAAGAAGGGTGGTGGCCCCACAGGGCAAACGCTGCCTGAGTCCTACAGCACAGGGAAACCCAACAGAAGCAGGAGCTTAGGCTAAAGCACCATGCCCACTGACATTTGGCCACAGGTCCCACCCAGGTGACCGACCAGGGGCCACAAGAATGGTGACAATGGGACTTAAGGGAGCAAGTCCTTATCCCAAGAGACAGGCAAATTTGCAGGAACAGCCATATATTATATTTGGCAAGGCACTTGAAAACGAAAACAAAAGCTTGAGACCAAATTTAGGGTAAACCTATTCTGGAACCTTCTTTCCTATGTCCTGCTGACCCTGTGCATTATGGATGTGGAAGGTTATGTTTTTGCTTTCCTTTCCTTTTTCTTCTATTTGTTTGGTTCTTCCAAGGAAGACATAAGTGATCTTTCTTTTTTCAGTTCCCCTTGGTCTCGTGCTCAGATTTTTGTTCTCTTCCTCATGACTTCTTTTAAGTCTTCCACCCACACAGTTACTAACTAGAGTTAGGAAATGGTAGCCACATCTCAGAGCTATTATAAAATCACTGAGGTGGAGGGCCTAATCCAAAGTGGGGACTCAACATGGCTGAATGTGTTTCTTCCCTTTTTCCACCCAAAAGAAAGATGATAATATTGTAAGAAGTCTGGAAAAGAAAAAAAAAATCCCACAATATCCAACATCTTAGCACAATCATTGGCATCTTCAGACATTTACATTCCAACTGTTCATTCCATGCCTATGTGTTTCACAGGCTGATGCCCAGCAGGTATGCATCTACCTACAGGCCATCCTCAGTGCTAGGATTTCTCAAGCATCTAATGGACACCAGCCTGTATTTTGCATACAGTAGTGCAGTAATGGCACAACAACCAGAGAAAGTACTTACTGATAGAGTCTCAGGTGAGGAAACCGAGGCACAGATCAGGCAATGGTGGAAGCAGGACTGGCCCCCACGCTGCAGAGCCATTGCCTTCAGTGCTTCTCTGATGGCCCCATCCCATGTGCACCCCTCCCCAGCAGGGCAGCCTCCAGACAGTTGTCTGTGAATGGCTGCACGGCATGGCATCCTCTTGAATGGATTTTGTTTCACGTTGGTGGGCAATTTCACTCTCATTTAATTCTCTGGTATGTGGTATGATTTTTCCAATAATTTTTGGAGGGATGGGAATTTCATGTTGCAGAGGAGTGGATTCTATAGTAAAACATAAAAATGTGCAGGGCTGTTTGATGGCCAACAATCATCTGTTTTTACTTGTTCAACTCTCCTTCCTCATTTGAACCCCTTCATAAATAGAGGAGCTTCTTAATTGGGACTTTTTTCTTGAATCACTGTGGAAGAGGTAGAGGCCATTTATAATCTTTATAAAAATCTTTTTTAGGGATCCCTGGGTGGCGCAGCGGTTTGGCGCCTGCCTTTGGCCCAGGGCGCGATCCTGGGGACCCAGGATCGAATCCCACATCGGGCTCCTGGTACATGGAGCCTGCTTCTCCCTCTGCCTATGTCTCTGCCTCTCTCTCTCTCTGTGACTATCATAAATAAATAATAAAAAAATATATATATAAAAAAAAATAAAAATCTTTTTTAAATTATCATACAATATTATTGACTCCTTTTCCCTTTATGATGTACTGTTCTATGAATGTTAACACATCATCACAGTCAGGATACAGAACAGTTTCATTACCCCAAAACACCTCCTCCTGCTACCCCTTTGTAGTCATGCCTTGTCCCCATGGCTAACTCCAGGTGACCACTGACCTGTTCTCCATTACTATAATTTTGTGTTTTTAAGAATGTTATATGAATGGATTCATATAGCTTGTGACTTTTTGGCTCCCTTTACTAAGCATTATGCCTTTGAGATCCATTTAAGTTGTTGTCTGTATCAATAGTTCATTCCTTGTTTGATTGCTATGTATCTTCTATTGTGTGGAGGTGTACCAGTTTCCTTATCCATTCATCTGTTGAGGGACACAAGGGTTGTTTCCAGTTTTTGGCAAGGATGAATGAAGCTGTTATAAAAAATCATGTACAGGTTTTTGAGTGAACATAACTTATTTTTCTAGTGTAAAAACCAAGAAGTGGGATACTAGGTCATTTGGAAAGTGTATGTTTAATTTTATAAGACACTTCTAAACTATCTTCCAGAGTGGCTATACTACTGTACATTCCCACCAGCAGTGTATGAGAGATTCATTTGCTCTGCATTCTTGTTAGCACTTGATATAATCAGTAGTTTTTTTGGTTTGGTTTGATTTGGTTATTAGCTGCTGTGATTGGTGGGTAGTGATACCTCATCATGGCTTTTATTTATGTTTCTCTAATGATTAATGATGTGAAGCAATTTGTTTTGTGTTTATTTGCCATCTTTATATCCTCCTTGGTGAGTGTCTATTAAAGTCTTTTTTTATTTCAGTTATAGGGGCAGCCTGGGTGGCTCAGCGGTTTAGCACCGCCTTCAGCCCAGGGCCTGATCCTGGAGACCTGGGATCGAGTCCCACATCGGGTTCCCTGCATGGAGCCTGCTTCTGCCTGTGTCTGTGTCTCTGCCTCTTTCTCTCTCTCCATCTCAAAAAAAAAAAAAAAAAAAAAAAAAGTATTTCAGTTATAATACCTCTGTCAGATATGCAATTTGCAAAGATTTTTCTCCTAGTTCATAGCTTGTTTTGTGTTTTCTTTCTTTCTCTCTCTCTTTCTTTCTTTCTTTTTTTTTTTTTTTTTTTTGGTCTTTGTACTCTCATAACATGAGTAAAAATACTTAACTTTTGCTAAATGCAGTTCATCAGTTTTTTCTTTCATGGATCATGTTTTCACGGCCATGTCTAAGAACTCTTTGTCTAAACCCAGACAAAAAAATTTTCTCCTATGTTATCTTCTAAAAATTTTGTGATTTCACATGTTACATGTAAATCTGTGATACATTTTGAATGAATTTTTATATAAGGTGTGAAATTTAGTTTAAGGTTTGCTTTTTTTTGCATCTGAATGACCAATATAATTTGTGAAAAGACTGTCATTAATCCACTGAATTACTTTCGCATCTTTGTCAGAAGTGAATTGCCTATGTAAGTGTGAGTCTGTTTCTGAGTTCTCTGTTCTGTTATACTGTGTGCCCATTCGTTGCCCCACCACCTTGTCTTGATTACTATAGCTTCATTGGAGCATATGAGTTGGGTTTTTATATTACATGCAAAAGAAGCCACCCAAAAGGTGACCCCAACTTATCTTTCCTGCTTATCACCCCATTCTCTCTGCCACTTTGCTTTTGCATGAGACAACCTCCTTTTCCTTTTTTTTTTTTTTTCAGCCTCCTTTTCCTAAAACACATGTGTGCTCTCAGATCACTAGGTCTTTGCTCATTCTGATTTTGGCTGTGTGCTTCTTTTAATTTGCCGTATTATCCCTACCCCTCTTTTGAGGACAGCCACAATGACAGCGTAGAATATTTTTTAAATTTTTCCAGGGGCGCCTGGGTGGTTCAGTTGGTTAAGCAGCCAATTCTTGGCTTCAGTTCAGGTCATGATCTCATGGTTGTGAGATAGAGCCCCACATCCATCTCTGCACTCAGCACAGAGTCTGCTTCAGATCCTTTCTCCCTCTGTCTCTCCCTCCAGCTCACATTCTTGCTCTCTCAAATAAATAAAATCTTTAAAAACATTTTTTCCATGAGAATTAATTTCTTTGCTGAGGTTCTGGAGCAGGTTACTCTTACCTCTCTGCTTGATGCATATGTTATTACAGCCTGCTTCCCTTTGGTGTGTCCACCCCGTGAGAACCGGGGTCCTGTCCTGTCATCTTCCTGTCTGCCCTGCACACCTCCAGAAGTGCTATTCCCATGGAAGATGGAGTGGTACCCCGGGCCCAGCATTCAGGCCCTGTTGGGGAAGCACACTTACATAACTGAGACATAGTCTCAGGCCATGCTAGCAGGAAGCAGGAGGATCTCACTTCCTACCAGCAGAGGTAGGAAAGGCCAGAGGTAGGAAAGGCCAGAGGTAGGAAAGTTGTGCCCTCAAGAGAATCATTACATGTCCACAACTGTTCCACCATTGTGCTTTTTCAGCTACAGCTGCCCCTTCACATGTCCTGACAGTGGCACCTCCTCCAGGCATGACATCCTCACCCACCAGCCTCCAGAGCCAAAAAGAGACAAGCCTGTCTTCTCTCTTTCCTCTTCTCTCTCTTTCTCTTTTTCTGGAACAGTAATTCCTTTTTTTTCATAGCATCTTTACTGAGATGTAATTCAAACACCATACAGTTCTGCTGTTTAAAGTGTACAACTCAGTGGTTTACTATGCTCAGAGTTTTGCACCCATCACCACAGTAAATTATATTTTCATCACCTAACAAAAAGTCCCATACCCTCTAGCAATCACTTCCCAATCTCTCCTCCCTGCCTTGTTCCCAACTATAAGCAACCTGCTTTCTTTTTTTTTTAATTTAATTTTTTGGTATTTTTTTATTTTTATTTAAATTCAATTGATTACCATATAGTGTATTATTAGTTTCAGAGGTAAAGTTCAGTGATTCATTAGTTGCATAAAACATCCAACACTCATCACTTCATGTGCCCTCCTTAATGCCCATCACCCAGTTATCCCATCCCCCCAAACCCCTCCCCTCCAGCAACCCTCAGTTTAAGCAACATGCTTTCTATTTCTCTAGTTACCTATTTGGGATATTTCAGATCAATGGGATCATAATTTGTGGTCTTTTGTATCTGGCTTCTCACTGAGCGTGTTTCGAGGTTCATCCACTTTGTAGCTTCTACCAATACTTCATTCCTTTTTTATTTTTTTTTAAAGATTTTATTTATTTATTCATCACACACAGAGAGAGAGAGAGGCAGAGACACAGGCAGAGGGAGAAGCAGACTCCATGCAGGGAGCCTGAAGTGGGATTCGATCCCGGGTCTCCAGGATCGCGCCCTGGGCCAAAGGCAGGCACTAAACTGCTGCGCCACCCAGGGATCCCTTCATTCCTTTTTAAAACCAAATAATACTCCATTGTATAGATATATTATATTACATTTATCTATTGCTCTGTTGATGGAATTTCAGGTTGTTTCCACTTTTTGGCTTTTATGAATAATTCTAAGAATTTTATACTTGAGCTCTTACATTAGGTCTTTGATCCATTTTGAGTTAATTTTGTATATGATCTCAGGTTGGGGTCCAGTTTCTTTTTTTTTTTTAAGATTTTATTTATTTATTCATAGAGACACAGAAAGAGAGAGAGAGGCAGAGACACAGGCAGAGGGAGAAGCAGTCTCCACGCAGGGAGCCTGACACGGAACTCGATCCCGGGACTCCAGGATCACACCCCGGGCTGCAAGCGGCGCTAAACCGCTAAGCCACCAGGGTTGCCCTGGGGTCCAGTTTCATTCTCTTGCATATCCCACTCACCTGTCGCATTCTTTCCCCCACTGGATGATCTTGGCACTCTGTTCAAAGACATTTGACCATATATTTATGGGTTTATTTCTAGACTCTTAATTCTGTTTCATTGATGTGTGTGTTAGTATCCTCATGCTAGTACCGTATTACCTTGTTTATAGTTGCTTTCTAGTAAATTTTGAAATTAGTAAATGTGAGGCTTCCAACTTTAGTCATCTTATTCAGGCTTGCTCTGGATATTCTAAGTTCTTGAGTTTTCATATGAATTTTAGGATCAGCTTGTCAATTTTCTACAAAGAAGCCAGCTGGGATCCTGATAGGGCTTATGTTAAATTTGTAGATCAATGTGAGGAATTTTGCTATCATAACAATATTACGTCTTCTGATCCATGAACACAGGATGTCTTTCCATTTATTTAGATCTACTTTAATTTCAGTGTTTCATAATTGTCAGAGTATCAGTTTTGCACTTCTCCTGTTAATTTATTCCTAAGTGTTTTATTTTTAATTCTTTCTATATGAAATTATTTCCTTAATTTTATTTTTGGATTGAACATTGCTAGTGTATAGAAATACAATTAATCTTTGTATCTCAATCTTGTATCCTGTAACCTTGTTGAATTCATTTCTTAGTTCTTACCACATAGTTATCTTTTAAATTACTTTTGGTCACAGTCTGCAAGAATAACATAAATGTTCTAGGAAAAAATAACACAAATGAATAGTACCTAAAATGCACTACACCTTCACAATGTCAGCAGAATTTTATATTCTTTAGGACCCAAATCCTTTCCTGGAAACTATCACCTAGAAAATTAAATGCCTCAAATATACAGAACAGAGGCATAAGAATTTCCTGCATGATTTATTTACATTTTTTTGTTTACTTGTCTTTTAACAACTCCAGTATGTAAAGGTAAAGGATAATTAAAGTGTTTTGTTATACAGACAGTATCTAATGAACACATATCTTAGCTGGGAAATACAGATCATGAAAAATTCAGTGTCTTCATGAATACCACTTTGGAAAAGTCATGTTCCATAAAGAATAAGCCATGACAAATCTAATGCCTTGGGGAAAATTTGTCATGGATGCACTCACTCATGACTGACAGAAACTTGTGGTAAACCCTTTTCCTCAGGGCCCTTCCCTTCTTGTGCTAAAATGTTTAGTTACAACACAGAGTTCTTCATCAGTCATCAGCCTCATCTTCAATTCCACGAGGGCAGGTTCTCTAACATAGCCATCTGGTCTGATTTTTACAGCATAGGCTGTTGACCCTTACAGGAGGGCTCTAGAGAAACAAAAATGAACATTCCTGAATACTTCCTTGTGGTCCTTTGGTCCTGTGATAAGGGGCAAGACTGTCCTAATTTCTGTCTGAAAGAAAAGTATCTTTGCAAGCATTTTCAAAGTAAGATTATTGCATATGCATGCATACTTGGAGTGGGCTGAGTGGGCTTTCTGCCCTCCCCACTGAAGGCAGACCACTCCTCTTTTCCCCTCTTTGCCTGGCACAGGTGCTCTGTCCTGCTGCCACTCTGAAGGACACAGAGGATGCCATTTGACCTCATAACTTGGAAAAAAGAATGTTTATTCACCATCAATATTTTTAAAGACAGGGAGGATATGAAATTTGCCAAGAAGTTTTATGTCTTTTTTTTATTCCTTTTCTAAAAATTTATTTGTGAGATGAGTGATATGGAAATGAAAAGTTTGTTTCCTTATTTTAGGGCCCAACTTTTAAGAAATACAAATACACAGATACAAAAAGAAAAAAACAAAAACCCCAGAACAAAACAAAAGCACTGTTTCTCCCCTCAGATGGAAATAACTCTCCAAGTTTAACTTCTAAAAAATATTTTGTCTTCTTGTTTCTCCTTCCCCTCCCCAGCATATTCCTGTGCAGATACTACTGAAGTTCATGGTGGACATTGCCCAGGGAATGGAGTATCTGAGCAACAGGAATTTTCTTCATCGAGATTTAGCTGCTCGAAATTGCATGTGAGTCCTGGCCCAACCTAGGAGGGGTTAAGACCTCATTGTGTTAAATATCTGGGGGCCAGGTAGGAATGGGGGGTGGCCTGTTGCTGTCAGAATATGCAGGAGAGGCAGGTTTGTGAGGGGAGCATGTGACTGGCTCTGAAGATGGGGTTTCTATGGCTCTGTTGTATGACTGGGTCTTTTCACAACTTATGCCTCCACGAGCCTGGTTGCTTCCAAAACTTCCCCCTATGATTCTTTTTTAATTTTCACTCTCTCAGCTTAGAGAGCTGGGTATGACCTTTGTGATCCTTCCCCTTTGCCATCGGCTAACTTTGGACCAGAGTTATATGAAAGTCAGCTAATCATGGAGACAGTAAGGAAAATCATAAAGGTTTTGTCTGTCTGGCTTCATGATCCTGCCTTAGTCAGCTAATCATGGAGATAGTAAGGAAAATCATAAAGGTTTTGTCTGTCTGGCTTCATGATCCTGCTGTGCAGTTTCATACTGCACGGAGATGCCTGGGTGGCTCAGTCAGTATCTTGGGTCATGATCCCGGGATCCTAGGATTGAGCCCCGCATCGGGTTCCCTGTTCGGTGTAGAGCCTGCTTTTCCCTCTGCCTCTGCCACTGCCCCTGCTTGTATTCTCTCTCTTGCTGACCCTCTCTCTTAAATAAATAAAGAAAGAAAGAAAATGAAAGAAAGAAAGAAAGAAAGAAAGAAAGAAAGAAAGAAAGAAAGAAAGGAGAAAAGAAAAAAAGAAAAGAAAAACTGCACAGAAGCTTTCCTTTTGTAGCAGAGAAACAAGGACTTCTACAAAAACTCTGAACTCAAGCCCCACCCCCCACCTCCCCCCGCTCCAGCAGGACCATTATCAGCAATACATCTTTTTTTTTTTTTAATTTTATTTATTTATGATAGTCACAGAGAGAGAGAGAGAGGAAGAGACACAGGCAGAGGGAGAAGCAGGCTCCATGCACCGGGAGCCCGATGTGGGATTCGATCCTGGGTCTCCAGGATCGCGCCCTGGGCCAAAGGCAGGCGCCAAACCTCTGCGCCACCCAGGGATCCCAGCAATACATCTTTAAAAACAATAACTAGTTCTTGATTTTAAGTTTATTATTTGCAAGAAGAGAGAGTGTTCCTTAAATGTATTGCTGTTACTCATTTTTCTTGGTTGGATATGTGACCATAGGGCTGCCCCCCAACTCCTTGCCTAGCTCTCCACAGGCCTCCTACCACTTGTACCTCGTTTTTAAAAACACTGAGGGAGAATCATGAAAACCTCCCTTTGCACTTAATATTTCCTTCATGTTTTTCCCATCAGGTAGGGTGACCAACCATCAACTCTGCCTGGAACTGAGGGATTTCCCAAGAGGGAAGACTTTTAAGTTTTATTTTATTTTTTTTAAAGATTTTATTTATTTATTCACGACAGACACAGAGAGAAAGAGTCAGAGACACAGGCAGAGGGAGAAGCAGGCTCCATGCAGGGAGCTGGACGTGGTACCGGATCCCAGGTCTCTAGGATCACATCCTGGGCTGAAGGCGACGCTAAACCGCTGGGCCACCGGGGCTGCCCGAATTTTCAGTTTTAAAAGCCAGGGTCAGCCAGACAGGAACAAAGCAGTCATCCCACCTCCAGACCACTCATTTCTCCTCCTTTCTCCTTCTTCTTGTCTTGATACCTGCTTTAACAGCTTGGGCTATAATTACAATTGTATCCCTTTCATTTTCCAGTTCATTCCTCAAGCACCACCTGGCTATCTTAAAAGGAAGTTCAGGGTCCCCCTCTTGTGGCTTATATTTCTCCACCTCCCCTAAACTGGCAGGAGCCAGTGCTACTTCCAGACACCAGGCAGGAAGGCCACTGGGTGGTAGATGAGTCCACCAGCGGGCCCTAGATTTGGGCCACTGCTCTTCTCCTCCTTTGCAGCATCTGTTCCCTCCAGGAGGCTCCACTCTCTTTGCAAAGGTGCCCTTGCTGATCTAGGTCCCCACACAGACCACAGAGTGCAAGGTTATAATGCTCTGTCACTTGATCTGCCTTTGGTCCCAAAGCAGAACCCTCACAGGCTGATGGGGTCTCTCTTTTTTGGTTACTTAGCCTGAATGTTTCTAGTTGTGTCTCATCTAGACCTGTGATTTAGGCTTTGCCTCTAAGGTCTCTGAGGACATGAACTTGCTCTCTGTAGGTTACGAGATGATATGACTGTCTGTGTTGCGGATTTTGGCCTCTCTAAGAAGATTTACAGTGGTGATTACTACCGCCAAGGCCGCATTGCTAAGATGCCTGTGAAATGGATCGCCATAGAGAGTCTTGCAGACAGAGTCTACACAAGTAAAAGTGATGTGGTATGTGCAGAGCTTTGATTCGGAGCCCTACATTGCAAAGATGAAGGCGCATAGGAAGAAGGGACTTAAGCTGGTATTGCAAGACATTTTACTCTTTGATAAACTGAGAATTGGGAGCATGTTCACACCCTTTATTTATCACCAGATTCTTTAATTCAGGTAGAACACTAGAGTCTGCTAAAGTAGCTTGACATTCAGAAGATGTTTTTTGCATAGGCCTTTAATTTATCCCCATCTTTTTTGGGGGGCTACAATATAGTGACTTGTTGCCTACAACTAAGACATTCACATTAAATTTAATGAGTTCATCCAATGACTCTTTGTAACCAAGACACTATATAAAAGATGCTGCAGAGATTGGGGAAAAGAAGACACTCGACAGCAGGAGGGAAGGGAGCATTACAAAGAGCATTGACACACAGAGAGAAGGCTGTATCCACCTTGGTCAGATTCCCGGGAACAGCCTCAGTATAACCAGGGAAGCGTGGCTCTCTGACCCCTCTTATTGCCGCATCGGGAAAGTAGCATGTGTCACCCATAATTGTCAGCTTTGTGCACCATCATCAGACTTTAAGGAAATGACCTTTCTAAATGAAAAAGTCCATTCAGGCTTTCTGAAAAGGCTTGCATCCTAACTTGTTGTTGCTTTGTTCTCAGTGGGCCTTTGGCGTAACCATGTGGGAAATAGCAACACGCGGAATGACTCCATACCCTGGAGTCCAGAACCACGAAATGTATGACTATCTTCTCCATGGCCACAGGCTGAAGCAGCCCGAGGACTGCCTGGATGAACTGTGAGTGAGCTTCTCCATGTCACTGGGTGCTCTGCACAAACCTGGGGACACACGGCCTCAGCTCAGTGGGAGGGGTCACTCTTAGCCAGTATGTGGAAGATGGCATGCAGACACCCCAGGCCAGAAGCCTCTCTTGGTGTGGCAGATGGTGTGTGCACATCTCCAGTGAGCCTTCATGTGTTCTCAAGTTCTGGAAGCACCTCTGGGAGATCTGTCCTATAGACAAATAGGTAGGCTTTATCCTACATGAGGGACTTGAATGATTATATAACTGATTCCTCATCCCTGTGCAGAGGTTGTGACTCTGTTGGTACAAAGTGGGCCTAGATGTGTATTTTAAAACTCCCCCTGGGAGACTGTGTGCTTAGCCAGGCGTGAGAGCCCCCATCTCCAAGTGTGCAGGACCACACTGCACACCTGTCCCAGCAGGCCCTCTCTCTTAAGGGTGGGCAGTCTAGAAAAAAGCCTGAGACTTGCAGCTAGGCACGCTGCTGCCTCCTAACCAGCCACGTGTGTGGGCAATCACAACTGACTTGAACTATTCATGCCTCATTATTAGCCACACACACACACACACACACACACACACACGCACACACACGTAGAGTCATCTATTCTTCAGAGAGGGATTGGGGAAAAAAGTTGAAGAAGAGAATGAGGGGGATCCCTGGGTGGCGCAGCGGTTTGGCGCCTGCCTTTGGCCCAGGGCGCGATCCTGGAGACCCGGGATCGAATCCCACGTCGGGCTCCCGGTGCATGGAGCCTGCTTCTCCCTCTGCCTGTGTCTCTGCCTCTCTCTCTCTCTCTCTCTGTGACTATCATAAATAAATAAAAATTAAAAAAAAAAAAGAAGAGAATGAGTGGAATGCTCAGCCTGCGGGATGTCCATAATGTATCAGTCATTGGTAGCATTATTATAGATTGATCTCTCCAAACACCAAACACAATTATTTTGCAAATAATTTCATGGGGCACTACCTCTAGCTTGGTGATTTGAACCTTCCTAATGGTGAGTTTCTTCCCAACATCACAGGGGTGGTGGACTTAGGGCATTTTCACCATATTTTAGCAAGAATGTTTCAGAATGGTGAGCCTGCATGACTGTCATGGAACACCATGATGGGGCACTGGTTGAGAAGGCATATGTGGGACACCCTCACACACACACACACACACACACACACACACACACACACACTGGCCCTGCTTCTACACAAGTGAAAAGGCTCAGGTCAGTCTGCATGCAGGCCTCCCAGATCCCGTCCAAGCCAAGCAGAAGGAACTTTTTTTTTTTTTTTCACAGATGCCCAGGGGGTCCCCACAAGGAAACTTTATTGATCAGAGCCTCACCCTGCCCGGTGGTGGTGGTGATGGTTGTTGTGGCTGTAAATATATAACATTGACAACAGACACAAAAAAACATAAGTCCATTAGGAATATCATGAAATCATAATTAAATTAGATTTGGGGTTTTATGGTAGTTTTAAAAGAGACCACATTAATGAAATGTTTGCTTCTGAAAATGAGGGAGCAGTTTCAACCAAATAATATTGAATAAACAGTTTTGTTGCCATTTATTTCTTAGCTTCTCTTGTGCTCCAGAAGAAGTTGGTATTTGCAGTGATTATCTGGGGTCTTAGCAAGGCCTAAGCTGTGTCACATGGTGGTTTTGAAACATTTCACATAGAGCCAAACAGGGAATGCTGAGTCGGTGAGAACTTTTAGGTGAAGGAGTCGTAGACTCTGCGTGTCAGGGAAGTCAGGCAAAGCAGATGGGTCCATGGTCCCCACGTTGCAAGCTTGCAAGGGTTCTGGTGAGCCAGACCCTCTTCCCAGGAACCCTCTGGCATCTGGATGCTAGAGAGCAAAATCTCCCAAGGCCTCTGTATTTGCATATCTGCATTTTTCTAAAAAAATGAAACAGATACTCCTAAGCTTCCCTTCTGTGTTTGTGGTCTAACTGTAGTTGAGATGAGTTCATTCTTGTGTTTAGTTGCCCCTTGGTCCTTTCAAACTCAATTCTAAGAATTATAACAATGTAAATAGCAGAGTACACTCTGTGCTTGCTCTCCGAGCCTGCCTTCTGAGGATCACCCCTACCTGTGACTGACCAGGCTGCAGGCCCTGCTCCCCATCACCCAAGAGGCCACTCTGTGTGATGTCCTTATCTCCTACGTGGGACATTGCCTTAGCTGAGCTCATGATGTCCTGGCTGCAGCCCTCAGAACATCTCCTACCCGCTGACCGCTATGGTTCATGGCATCTCTGCTGAGTGTGACAGTGTGACACCTGGGAGCCACCGTGCTCTTCCTTTATCCTGCTGAGTCCTATCAGCCATCAGATGTCCTTCAGAGCCCCCTCCCCTCCATTCCTACCCCTAATGCCTTCAAACCATGAAAGCCCAGGGCTGGACGGGGCCTGGGGCCATCTGCTTCCACTTCCTCATCACGTATGTGGAAACAGTGGCACAATGGCACACATATGGAAACAGTGATATCACAGTATACCTAAGCTGGTCAGGGTCATCATTGTTTCCCATGGAATAGTATGGGCCTACTATTCTCCTTACCCCCAGGCTCCTAATACATCCTTTGGCTGGCAACCAAAATGATCTTTCTGAAATTAGCCTATTCATGGGATACCCTAAACATAATCTTTCCATAGGACAAAAACCAAACCCATTGGGATCTGACCTGTGGCAGGCAGGCTGGCTGAATGGTTAAGAATGTGGACGGTGGTGCTAGGTGCTCCTTGCTTTAGGTCACAGCTTCGCTCTTGTCCTGGGGCCAAGTATCACCCTCTTAGTTCTGTTGTCTGTAAAATGGAGATAATGGTACCTGTGTGCTAGGGCATGCTGATGGAGCAAGCTACTATCTATACAGATCCTTCTCGTGATGGCCATAGGATAGTGAATGGAAAGAAAAGGTCAGAGATTATGATTCTTACTGAAGCAGGTAGAGGTCATGGATAAGAATGGGGGCTGTGGTGTTGGACAGACTTGAAGCTGCCACTGACCACGCAACATCAAGGAGTCTCTCTCCTTCCAAGCCTCAGTAGTCCCATCTGTGAATGGGAATGCATTTCTTCTCCACAGAGCTGCTGCTGATCGAGCAGCGTCAGATGACTGAGGCTCATTAGCCCTCCACACAGCTGGCACTTGCCAGAATGTTGTCCATGTCAGTGGCCCTGAAGCTGTGGCCACCCACACTCAAGTGCTCTCACTGCCCGAGCCTCACCGGCCACTGTCACAGCACTGCCCTCATGCCTCACACACCTGACCACCCCAACACCAACCTCCCAGGTTCTTTCATTGTGCTTCCTAGGGCCTGGAATGACAGCAGGTGAAGAGCCAGTCCTGACTCATATATCTGCTGCTCATCTGCTCCAAGGACCCCAGGTCACACCCACCTTCTCCCTCTCAGAAACCCTCCTTTACTTACTGATCCATCCCTCCACTTCTACCTGAGGCATCCAAGGACCTGAGCAGGAGGGAGATGGGAGTCACTGGTGGCTGAGTGGCACAGCGAGGATCAGACTCTGGCTCAGCCTGTAGAGACGTGTGCAGCTCATGTGATGCCTACCTTTCAAGCATCACTTCCCTGAATAGACTTGAAGCACTGTGCCCAGCCGTCTTCAGAGCCAGGGACAAAGCAGGTGCTTGACAAATATGGGTGAATTCATACACTTATAAATTTTGTAAATTTGTATGATTGCATCTTTTTAAACTCCTCTGTTAAGTAGTGGTAAACTATAGATAACAAAACCATTTTTAAGTATACAGTTCAGTAGTGCTAAGTGTATTCACTTTGTTGTCCAACCATCACTACTCTCCATCTCCAGGACTCTTTTTATCACATGAAACTGAAAATCTATACCCATGAAACAACTCCCCATTCTCCCCTGCCTTCAGCCCGTGGCAACTGATAGGATTATCTCTTTTATAAAAATCTCAACAGAAAATAAAAATGACCATTTACAAAGGAACTTCCAAACCTTTTTTTTTTCTTTCCACCCATAAAATTGAAATTACTAAACCTCACAGCCCCCCCCATTAATCTCCAGGCAAAGGCCTTCTTGTTTCTCTCCTTGGCCTGCTACTATGGCATCACCCTTTGGGGGAGCAGCTTAGACAACTACATGCTCACCTGTCTGTAAAAGCCATGTTCATATTTTTAAGTACATCACAAAGTACTGCAAGTGAAAAAAAAAGTTTCAAAGTGATATTTTGACTTTTTTTTTTTTTTGGCTAAAAAAATAATAGATTATTCAAATGCTTTCTCCTAAGACCTGGAAAAATTGATAGTAAGTTAAATAACACAGCACCTTGATGAAGAAATGGAAAGGAGAGTGTATCTCTAAGGACAGAATTCCTCAAAGCTCATTTCAGAGTACCAACAAACTAGGCTTTGTGGAGGAGAAAAAGGAAGTCATGCAAATTGATTTATACCATAAAAACTTTGAAAATGGAAACAAAAACTATTTGTCAAGTCTAAGTGGCCATCTGTTGAAGGTAAAACCAGGGAGAGTAAAAAGCACTCCGAAGCCTGATGTCCAAGTGAGAATCAGGATTATCAGAGAAGGGAATATGCCCCTACTGCTACCTCAATGTCTTCTGTTCCTGGCTGGCTCCTTGGTAGACAGAGTGCTTTGCAGATCTCCACCTCCCAGAAGCATGCACAAGTGTCCATAGAGACTGCAAGAGTAAACAAGTGAAAAGATATCATTATATCTCTACATAGATGAGATCTGTATGTGTGTGAACTACCACCTGCTGCTACAGTTAGCCAAAGTATCTACATCACGTGTTCAATGTAAACACGGGAGTCGCATATTTATATTCATAAAATTGCGTCTACTACGTGTGTGAGATGATTTAAATTTGGGTTGTTTTCTTATCAGCGACATGAATATCAATTTCTCAAAACAAGAAAGAATCAAAATAAAAGAATAGTATAATTTACTCTCCATCTCTGGCCAGTAGTTCATAATTCAGTCACCTCTTTGTTTTATTGCATTCATGTAAATGTCCCTCCATTGTAATTCTTAATTATATTAGACACTGGGAATGAAGAAGCTACCCAGAAGAGAGAGTTATCTATACAGAACACAGCAGAGGGGGTCATGAGCCCCTGGGAGTAAGAGCTGTCCAGTCGGAGGCTGGTTCACATACTGCCCACACAACCATGGCATCTGTGACATCCCTGAGCCCACTCTCATTTATATTGCAAAGTAACAATGATAGAGCTATTGAGATTAAATGTAGTGACACACACGGGGCACCTGGGTGGCTCAGTGGTTGAGCATCTGCCTTCGGCTCAGGTCGTGATCCTGGAGACCCAGGATCGAGTCCCACATCGGGCTCCCTGCATGGAGCCTGCTTCTCCCTCTGCCTGTGTCTCTGCCTCTCTGTGTGTGTGTGTGTGTGTGTGTGTGTGTCATGAATAAATAAATAAAATCTTAAAAAAAAAGTTAGATATAACTGCCACATATGTTCTGTATTCCTGGAGCCAGAGAATCCTATCACCTGCCTGTGGGACATTCATAAAATTTAAACAAATATTATCCACAAGGAAAACCTCAGTAATTCCCCAGAAGTAAAATTCCTGTGGATTAAAATGGGACAGAACCCAAGAATAGGTGAATACAAGGTACAGATTGCGCTAAGGACCCTGGATGCTGGGCCAGAAAATAACTCACTCCTCTGTTATTCTTGTAGGTATGAAATCATGCATTCTTGCTGGAGAGCTGAGCCCTTGGACCGACCTACCTTTTCAGTGTTGAGGCTGCAGCTAGAAAAATTCTTGGAAAGTTTGCCTGAAGTTCAGGACAAAGCTGATGTCATTTACATCAACACACAGTTTCCCGAGAGCTGTGAGGACCCTGGAGAGGGCCCCGCACTTGCTCAGCTAGACATGAACATCGATGTGGACTCTATCATCGGTTCTTGTGCTCCCAGCGCTGCCGTCAGTGTGGTCACGGCAGAGGTTCACGAGAATAGAGCTCACGAGGAGAGGTACATCCTGAACGGGGGCAATGAGGAATGGGGAGATCTGGCTTCTGCTGCTCCAGCAACAGGCACGACAGGAAAGAACTGTGTTTTACCAGAGGACAGACTTGTGAAGAATGGAGTCTCCTGGTCCCAATCAAGCACGCTGCCCTTGGGGAGCCCGTCACCAGATGGACTTCTATTTGCTGACGACTCCTCAGAAGACTCGGAAGTCCTCATATGAGGAGAGCCAAAAGAGACATTTGCAACTCAAGAAAATTCTGCTTTAGGAGAATCCCTATACACTCCATGTGTTTGGAACTTGTCTTCCTTACCAGTCAAGTGCCATGGCAATAAAGCACCAGGTGAATGTTGTCAAGTAAGTCATCATTAAAAATACATAATATATATTTATTTAAAAAGAAAATACATATATATGTATATGCTGGGAAGAGACAAAGATCTATTTTAATAAAACGTGACTTATTTCACTTGCTTACCTTGCAGACCTAAAATTTCAGCTTTAATGGCCTCATCTCTACAGCTGTTCCCTGATGTTAACATTTGCACAGTCAGTGTTATTTTTTTTAAGTTCTTTTCTTTTTTCATGACTATTAAGTGTAAAAATAATTTGCAAAATGAAATGCTATATTTGACTTTGCTTCTGGTCTTATGAAAGATCTGATAATATTACATGAATCATCTATTTGATAAGAATGATTTATTTAATATTTAAAGTTTTATAACTGATTAACTCTTTGATATGACTTCCTAATAAAATATGAAGGAGAAAGGATGGGTTGTACTTACTTGGAAAGATAGTGGTCACTGACCAGCAGCCTCTGTACCTTTGCAAATGAATTCCCTTATTGCCTGGCCCTCGATACAATCGTTTTGACCAATCTTAGCATTTTTCTAGAAGAGATGTGGAAAAAAAGCACTCCAGAATCTAAAGATGAAGAACAAAAAATATTGAAAAGTATGATTTGGGTGGATAGATTTAAAATAACTTGTAGAAGACAGTCTGGCAGGTGGAGTGCTTCTCTGCGTGGGAGTCACAACTTGCAGGAGATAGACATGGGTAGTGGGCATGGTACACCCTTGCTTACAACTCAGCACCTCTGAGTTCACATCCAGGCTCTGCTGCGTCTTGACAGCCATTGTTCTTGAGCACTTGCTATGCTTCAAGTACTTTCCCTGAACTGCCCTATTTAATCTGTATATCATTACCATGGGTACTAATGCCATCATCATGTATGGGCCAGGAAACCGAGGCTGGAGACTTTGAGTAACCTGCTGTAGCCCACAGCTAGAGAAAGGTGCAGCCAGAATTTCAGAACCAAGTAATCTAATTCTGGCTGGCTCTGCGTGTGATTTGGGGTTTGCTCCAGAGCCTCTCAACCTTTTAATTTTATCTAATAGACACATAGGAAATACTTACTATGTGGCTATGCACAGTACTCATTTCATCCCAGTAACAACCCCAGCAGGTAGGTATTGCTACTATTATCTCCACTTCACAGATGGGCAGGCTAAGGCAGAGACACCCTAACTTACTCTGCTGGTGAAAGCAGTAGACTGATGCAGTGTAAGCATTGATCCCTTGGGCCTCTTGCTCCTCACTTGGCGAGCAGCCTCACTCAAACTACCATAGCTTATGAAGATCAGCGTGTGTACTGGGCCCAGAGGTGAGGCCCCCAAGCCTGGGTCCTAGTCCTGGCTGGCTGCCAACTAGAAGCTCCAGTCTCCAACATGAGCCAACTTCACTGTTACCGTGAAATGCTTCATACAAGAAAGTTCTGGGGCTCCTGGTTGGCTTGTTGGTTAAGCATCTGCCTTCGGCTCAGATCATGAACCTAGGGTCCTGGGATCAAGTCCCACATCAAGCTCCCTGCTCAATGGGGAGCCTGCTTCTCCCTCGCCCTCTGCCCCTCCTACCTGCTCATGCTGTCTTGCACACACATGTGTGTGCACTCTCTCTCCCTCTCAAATAAATAAATAAAATCTTTAAAAATATTTTTAAAATAGTGAAAAAAAGTTCTGAGGGTTTGAAAAGGATCTGCACTGTTGTAGAAAATGCCAGCATCACATTTTAACATTTTATCAGTGAAAAGCAAAAAACAAAAACAAAACAAAACAAAAAAAAACACAAAAAGGCTGTTAGAACCTATAAAGATAATTTCTACTGTTAGAAATTTTGGAATGGTTGTTAAAAAAGTGAATAAAAAAATTTATATCACCTACTTGTGCAAAGTTTCTTATTGATGGAGACTATCAAGAATGTGAATAGTTCATCATTAAATTCTTGGTCAGGCACTGACCAGCTAGTTCAAGCAAGAAAACCCAATATAGAAAAGTAGGTTCACATCCATAAGATAAATAAGCAAATTGAAAAACTGTTATTTGGGGCACCTAGATTGCTCGGTCCATTAAGCATCTGCCTTCCTCTAAGATCATGATCCCAGGGTCCTAGGATCGAGCCCTGCATCAGGCTCTCTGTTTGGCAGGGAACCTGCTTCTCCCTCTCCCTGTCTGCAGCAATGCCTACTTGTGCGCTCTCTGTCAAATAAATAAAATCTTAAAAAAAAAAAAAGCATTGAAAAACCTGTTATTCAGATGTTTCATATAAATTTAATATGAAATATCTAAATTAATATACTTTGTGCTTTATATTTCTGGCTTTAACTGTACAGTATAAACAGATAATAAATAGCTCATTGAATGCCCACAGCCCCCAAATCCTGCCCAGTTGGCTCAGTATGTGCCATGTGGCCTGAAGAGGGCTGAGCAGCCTGGACCGGTTCTGCTACAGAAGAGTGTGGAGAAGTAAGCATGCTGAGGCTTCTGGCTTTTCTAGAGACATCAACACAGTAGAGAAACTCACTTGGTCTCCAACCCACCATAATGCACCGGGCTCTTGATTAAATGGAATGCCGGGGCAGTGCCTTCCCTTCCCTGCTTTCTTTTCTCAAGAGGTAAATGAAGCTGCACTGTCCTGTCATTATTCAGACACTTCAGATCTCCTCACTGAGAACTTTGGAACCACGGTGGTTCTTTTTAGCCACATTCGAATGTTTAGAAGTTCTGAAAGAACTAACTTTCAGAGGACCCAATCATTGGGAAACTCATACCATCTCCTGAGCCTGAACTGAAAAAGAGCCTTTTTAATTCTCTTTTGTAAAAATTCAAATTGCTTTTGTAAGGTGGCCCTTATAGGCAAAAAACGGGGGAGAGAAAACAAACAAACTGGGTTATTGTCTTCAGCTGGCTGGGACAGGGCTGGGAGGCCAAGAGGGCAAGAGAAATGACAAATACCAGAAATACTCATGACCTACAGGTTGGGACGAGCTCTGCCTCTGCCTCATGAGGGTTTTTCTTGCCCACCCCACCCCACTCCCTCCTTCCATTTCTTCCCTTCCTTTCCTAAGTAGAAAGGAGAAGTGAAGATCAGAGCCTCATGAGCTGGGTCACACAGCCAAGGGCAGAGGCTGGACAGGAACCAGTCTTGTGAGCACTCCTTGGGCAGTCTGGGCAGGTCACTCGGCTCCCCTGGAGCCCAAGTTTCCATAAGTGTACAGTAAAAATAGCAATCCCCTCTCCTGCAACCCCCTGGGTGGTTCCGTAGGAAGGGGAGGAGGCAAGGTCTTTGAAAGAGTTTTGTTTGTACTTAGTAGAGGCCTTTCCCGATTACAAGCTTCTCCTGGTTTCATTTTTTATGCAGTACAAACTCACCATTTGTCATATTAGAAATACTTTCCCTGACTTGTTATTAGCTCCCCCCAAAATAACACAAACTCACTCAAAAATAAAAGAATTTCATCATTGCCAGGGATACACACAGGTGAGGAAGTTGGCAGAGTGAAAGGAGCTGGGCCATCATCCTTCGACGCAGATGGCTCTTGGGCTCAGAGGCAGGCAACTCCCTATGCCCTGATGCCCAGAGGTTCCTCTCTTATCCATCTCATTCTGGAGTTTGGTTCTTACGAGCCTCAGTGCTCATCCATCTCCATAAATGGGTGACGGCAAGCAGTAGTGGCCTTGTCAACAAGATTCGGGGACCTGAGGTGGGTCCAAGTGCCGTCCAGGGTTGGGGAAACTCTCCCTTTGCCTCCATGACCCCAGACCAAGCAGAAGTTACTGCTCAGGAAACAGGCCAAACCACAGTTTCTTATCTTGCAAGTCAGATTGACTGTGGCCAGACTAATCCTGACTCATGAAAGTTAAGACCTTTTTGACTTCTCCTGGTCAATGGCAAAAACAAGTGGGAACTTCTGCTGAGTCAGTGGGAAAATAAATGACCCAAAAATAAACCAGCTATGACAGCAACTTAACTTCTCTAAAGACATTTAGTTACCTTGGATGACAAACGGAAAAAAGGGAAGTTTTGTTTTCTTTAATGAACATTTCTGGATTGATTACATGATGTTTCTATATGTAGATTTTACCTTCTCTTAAAAAGCTTCCAGAACAGAAATAAAACTGCCCTTCTTTTTAACGTAAGCATGTCTAAATTACCTAAATTAATTGTATTTAAATATAATGAGGGGCACCTGGGTGGCTCACTCGTTTAAGCATTGGACTCTTGGTTTCAGCTCATGTCATGATCTCAGGGTCCTGGGATCAAGCCCCATGTTTGGCTCCGAGCTCAGTGCAGAGTCTGCTGATCCTCCCCCCTCGCCCTCTGTTCCTCTCCAACTCCCCAGTCCACCCCACATGTTCTCTTTCAAATAAATAAAATCTTTAAAACAAAAACTTTTTAAAGAAATGTAATGATTATTTCTAAAAGCTGTAACCCAAAGACACACTACACTTCAGAATATTTTCATGTACAATGTGTTCTATTAAAATGAGATTCCATATATAGATATTTGAAAGAGCAACTTGATTGTTCTCTATATTAACCCTTCCTACTTCTTAAGACACACGAATATTAAATTAATTAGTGGATTTATTGAGACTGCAGAGTTACAAATTCTAAACAAGGCAGTGTTTTTAAGCAACAGTCCTATGAGGACACATATAATCAATTTATCCATTTACTAATATACATTGAGAAGAAGGCTCTTTTCTGAACTCTGGGATTTGCAAAGAACAGCCTTGCTGTCTTTAATAACAGTCCAGAGGAGGGAACACAGGGCTTCAAATGAATACTTTCTTTTAAAAAGAATATTCCTCAGAATGCTCTGACTTGCACATTTTGTTGAAGCCAAGCCTGCAGAGCTGATGTTTAGACTCTAACAAACATCAGAACTAGAGAGCAAGTGCTTTCCCTGGAAGCAGGCTCTAAGGCCCTGCCCAGTAAAATTTAAAATTAAAAGACCACCCATTGGAGTTTCAAAACCAAAATTCCATTATGCCACAATGATCTGAGTAGTTTAAAGGAATGTGGACTGCTGCCTTAACTCCATGAGTCCTTATTGGTTCTTTTAACATAATTTGTCCAAAGATAGAAAATAATTTCTTGTCACACAAATCTGTAGTTCTCTAAATCTTTTTCTTCCTGTACATCACATTAGAGTATTTCTAATGATCTATCTTCAAATTTGCTGATGCCATGGGACGTCTGGATGGCTTACCAGTTGAACATCTGCCTTTGGCTCAGGGCGTGATCCCAGAGTTCCGGGATCGAGTCCCACAGTGGGCTTCCTGCATGGAGCCTACTTCTATCTCTGCCTATGCCTCTGCCTCTCTCTCTGTGTCTCTCATGAATAAATAAATAAACTCTTTAAAAAAATTTGCGGAACACCTGGGTGGCTCAGCAGTTGAGCATCTGCCTTTGGCCCAGGGTGTGATTCT